GACCGATTTCTAACCTCCCGTTCCTCTCTAAGATTCTGGAGAAAGTAGTCGCCAAAGAGTTGTGTGACTTTCTACATAACAATAGTTTATTTGAGGATTTTCAGTCAGGATTTAGAGTTCATCATAGCACAGAGACAGCTCTGGTTAAAGTTAATAATGACCTTCTGACTGCTTCTGACAATGGACTTGTCTCTGTACTTGTATTATTAGATCTTAGTGCTGCATTTGACACCATTGACCATGATATTCTTTTACAGAGACTTGAGCATCAAATTGGCATTAAAGGAACTGCCCTAACCTGGTTTAAGTCATACTTATCAGATCGTTCTCAGTTTGTACATGTTAACGATGAATCCTCCATAAATACTAAAGTTAGTCATGGAGTTCCACAAGGTTCTGTACTTGGACCAATACTATTTACTTTATATATGCTCCCTTTAGGCAACATTATTAGGAATCACTCCATTAACTTTCACTGTTATGCAGATGATACGCAGTTATATCTATCAATCAAACCCAATGAAATTAATCAATTATCTAAATTACAAACATGTCTTAAGGACATAAAATCCTGGATGACCTGCAATTTTCTGATGTTAAACTCAGAAAAAACCGAAATTCTTGTTCTTGGCCCCAAAAACCTTAGAGACTCATTGTCTAAAGATATAGTCACTCTAGATGGCATTAACTTGGCCTCTAGCACCACTGTCAGGAATCTTGGAGTTATCTTTGATCAGGATTTGTCATTTAACTCCCACATAAAGCAGACCTCTAGGACTGCCTTCTTTCATTTACGTAATATTAGAAAAATTAGACACATCCTATCACAGACAGATGCAGAAAAACTAATCCATGCATTTGTTACTTCAAGGCTGGATTACTGCAACTCTTTATTATCAGGTTGCCCCAATAAGTCCATTAAAACGCTCCAATTAATTCAGAACGCTGCAGCACGAGTACTGACAGGAACTAGAAAAAGAGATCACATCTCTCCTGTACTAGCTACTCTGCATTGGCTCCCAATAAAATGTAGAATTGAATTTAAAATACTCCTCCTCACCTATAAAGCTCTTCATGGTCAGGCCCCTTCATATCTTAAAGAGCTCATAGTACCCTATTACCCCACTAGAACACTACGTTCTCTGAATGCTGGGCTACTTGTGGTTCCTGTAGTCTCTAAAAGTAGAACAGGAGCCAGAGCCTTCAGTTACCAAGCTCCTCTCCTGTGGAACCAGCTTCCAGTTGTGGTTCGGGAGGCAGACACCCTCACCACATTCAAGAGTAGGCTTAAGACATTCCTCTTTGATAAAGCTTATAGTTAGGGCTGGATCAGGTGAGTCCTGAACCATCCCTTAGTTATGCTGCTATAGGCCTAGACTATAGACCATGGTGCACTGAGCTACTCTCTTCCTCTCTCTTTCTGCACTCATTCATGTCCCTTTAATGCATGTTACTAACTCCACTTCTTCCCCGGAGTTCTTGTGCTTTCTCGTCTCGCAGGTTCTCATGGATCCTGGTGGAGCCTCCTGCCATGGTCCTGCTTGACTGCCATTGCCAATACTGTTGTTGCTGTGCACCTGTCTGTCTGTCTGTCGCTCGCTCTCTCTCTCTCTCTCTCTCTCTCTCTCTCTCTCTCTCTCTCTCTCCACCCCAACTGGTCGAGACAGACGACCACCCACCTAGAGCCGGAGGATCTGTCCTAGGTTTCTGCCTTTTAACAGGCAGTTTTTCCTTGCCCTTGTCGCCAAGTGCTTGCTCATGGTGGTACTGTTGGGTCTCTGTAATTAATGTTAAAGAGTTCGGTCTAGACCTGCTCTATTTGAAAAGTGTCCTGAGATAACTTCTGTTATGAATTGGCGCTATACAAATAAAATTGAATTGAATTGAATTGAATTGAATTGGATTAGTGCACAGCAGGATTAGCAGTGATCTATACACTGTCTTAACAATTTGATTGGACTCTGTTTAAAGCAGGAAACAGGAAAAAATGCACTGGATTTATTCAGGAATTTCAGGAATTTGAAAGCAAAGGAGAGACAATCATGTTTCAAAAAGAAAATCCCAGGGTTAAAGAAAGACGAGAAAACAGAATTATTTCAGCTAACAAAACTTTTTATTAAACGTTTTATCATAAATGAAGAGTTCAAGATTATTAACAAAAAACTACTTCCTTAAAAATAGGAAGTGAAGATAACTATTTTAATAAAAAACAATTAAAAACAAACTTTAAAAAATAAAAGTTAATTAAACAAACCAAACCCTAATTCAACAGGTAAACACCAATGTCGCTTTCCCTCCACTGAGAGTAATGAAAGTAGCACACTTACGCACAAACGTATAGTTTGTTTTGTTTAGCACAAATAAAGCACCACACAGCTATCTGGCGGTTTGGCCCACTGGCCTCGTCTCCTTCCGCCGTCTTTGTTTTAAAGCCGCTGGAATGATTGCTAAAAACTAATGCAGGTGTGCCTGACCAGTCGGAGGGGAGGGTGGTACCTGGAACAGGGCACACAGAACACTGCAGAGGCAAAACATACTATAGGGCTGCCATCAGTCCAGTCTGCGTGGCTGCACTGGGTGGCCCCTAAGAGCTGGCCTGGTCCCTTGAGGTCCTCAGTGATAGATACTTGTACAGGAACAATTGGCATGTAGATGGTCAGGCCTGTATTCTGTAGTCTTCTTCTTAAAGTGCTAAGACTCAATGAAATGTTGTCCCTGGATGCCAAGAAGTCCATTATTATTTCATAACTGTGGCCCTCTGTGAAATACTTATGGACTAGCTTATTCTCCATTGTAGCTTTAGGAGCTAAGGGGTAGGGATGAGGAGACTATGGTTGAGACTGGTTCCCTTTTGTCGAAGTCTCCTGCTCACTCTGACCGACCAAATATTTTTCTACAGGGTGTACCGTGCAAGGTGGTTAAGAGTGCTTTTAAGAATCTCCCAATTCTTCTGAAGTGGATTTGTTGCAAAGGACTGATCTTACATTCTGACAATGTCTAAATGTTTACCAAACGTCTATGAACCCTTGCAGTTGGTTGGAAACCCCGTACTGTCCACTGACGATCCCAGGACCACTCTGACAATTGGAAACACTGATCCACCCATTGCAAGTGATGTCAATTGTCACAATAGTAGGATGATACCTTATATACTGACATTTGGTATTGCTTACAATGGGTAGGTCGGTGTTTCCAATTGTCAACCCAAATGTCTACATGTTTACAAAAAGTCTGTGAACCCTTGCAGTCAGTCGGAAACACCATACGGTCCCCTGACGATTCCAGGACTGCTCTGACCAGGGCCGGCTCTAGCCCATTTGGTGCCCTAGGTGAGATTACACCATCATACAATTGAATGACAACATCTGAACCATCGGAACACTGACTAAAGGTTTTATTTGAACAACAACAATGAACTTTCAGTTCACTCTTTCCAGCATGTTTCAACTAAATTTCAAGTAAATTATTATTTTCAAGACAGAACACAAAGGGAGGGCGCCAATGGGCATCAAAAAAGTTCTTTCTTTTCTTTTTCTTTTTTTCTCCAGCAGATGGCGCTCTAGGCGACCGCCTATGCCTAGAGCCGGCCATGGCTCTGACAATTGGAAACACTGATCCACCCATTGTAAGTGATACCAATTATCAAAACACTAGGATAATAACTTATATTCTGACATTTGGCATCACTTGGAGCAGGTGTTTCCAATTGTCAACCCAAATGTGAAAAAGTTTCCTAAATGTTTCAGGGCTCTGGAAGTCAATTGGAGGCCTGAAATGGTCCCCCAAGGATCGTAAAATGTCAAAATGTTTCCCCCATGTCCAATCGTGGCCCCACTTGGCTCCTGGGGGACTCCAGGACCACATTGTCCCTTTGGTAAAATTGGAACAATTTTGACATTTGGGTTGACAATTGAATTAAAGCGGCCCATTCTAAGTGAAGCCAAATATCACAAAATTAGGATATTCCCTTATCTTTTGACATTTGGCATCACATACAATGGGTAGGTCAGTGTTTCCAGTTGTCAACCCAAAAGCATTTTTCCATAGGTTGTCCTGCAGGACGTGGTTAGGAGTGCGTTTCGGAATCTCCCGATTCTTCTAAGTGCGTTTGTCATGCAGGACCCCAGGGCCACTGACAAATGAAAACACTGACCCACCCATTATAAGTGATGCCTATTGTCACAATATTATGAATATACCTTATTGTCTGACATTTGGCATCACTTAGAATGGGGACATCAATGTTTCCAATTATCACAACATTAGGATAATACCTTATTCTGACGTTTGGCAGATTGTTGTTGTTCAAATATCAAAAGTAAAAGTTCTCATTATGAAGAATAATATGTGTTATTAGATTGTTCATTACTTTATTATTATAACTGATAAATGTGGAGCTCATTTAATGAAAAATAAAACATGATAAAATACAATAAAATAATAACATACAGTAAAATATAATCACATATAAAATATTTACACTATATACAATAAAGTATAAGTACTGTACCTGTAAATGTACATCAAATTCAAAGAAGATAATTCAGAGAGAAGATTTTCAAAATAAAAACATTGTGTGTGTGTGTGTGTTAGTTTTGGTTTTTGTGCATCAAGAGGACATTTGATATGAAGACACACCAACACTAGGTGGAGATTTAGAATTAACAGGACAGTCAGTGTCCTGTTACTTCTAAAAATGTAGAAGTGTTTCTACAGAGCTAGAGAGCTCAAATCCAAAGAATTATCAGTTATCCAAGTTCTTCTTGTTTTACCTGCATTTTTATTATTTATTCTAGTGGTTCTTTATTTTAGTGACTTTCTTATTGATCTCTGTGTATTTATCCTTTATTGTTAATCATTTATCATGTTTGTATCATGTTTGTCTGTTGTCTGCATTCTGCATTCTGTTAAAGAGGTGTTTTGGTTTAAGGGAGGATTTTCAGCAGCACAGACGCTACTGAATGATCATAAAAATATGGAGGAACTACTACAGGCAGCAGTATAGAATAGAATATTTATAATATATAGTTTATATCATACATTCAAGATGGTAAAATGGTGAATTTACAAATCAGTCTGCTTCTTCAGCACCAAAGGATTTATCAATTCTCAGCACAGTTACTGATACTACAGGGACATGATCGAGACCATAGAGACTAACTTGCACAAACCTCAGTCAGATAAAGGATCAATGAGTCAGGCAGACTAACATATTCAACTCAACAACCCTACTGCCATCTTTCTGCTATCCGCCTACTGGATCCTGTAAAGGTTTATCAGTCTAGTAGTTCCTGTAAGTCTAGCAGAGGCCTTGTAGATCTACATTTTGCAGGTTTTTCAAAGTCCTTGCAGTGTCTGTAAGGGTTCAGCACAGTTCCTGAATCTAGTGGTCCCACAGTGGTCTTGTAGATATGCCAGAGAGGTTGATCAAAAGTAGAAGCTCAGTCTTGTAGATGTGGAGGTAGTGGGCAGACAGTTCATGTGTGCTATACTGTACATCATCTGCCCAGTATATCAGGTTCCTCTGGGATGTCCTTCAGGTTTAGTGGAGGCGAGTTGCTCTGTGCTGGTGGTCTGGATCCACGATGACGCAGGCCATCGGACAGGGCGTTATTCTCACCAGGAAACAGGACTGTCCCCAAAGCCTGGAAGGAACAAACCACACCATAATTGAGAGAGTTCTGCAGTAGCTAGCGGTGTTAAGATAACTGTAGCGCTCGCACCATCATAGGCCAAAACAGTGACATATCACATGAGACTGAACGCTGTTAAATAAATTACAATCATATTCACCTTACTATATCTGTAATGTTCCTACGCCACAAATGCTGCTGCCTCGCATTGCTCTTGGCGAGTAGAACCATTAGCTTTGTACCATTACATAATTTATTGCTGGCTAAAATATATGGTTGCCCCTTAATAGTGGACTAAACCATTAGTAGCTGAGAAGAGTCTTAGTCAACACACTTTTCATTAGTCGAATGGTCGCAGAAATAAAATACTAATGTCAAACTCTGGGACCTCAGGGGAGGTTTGTCTACATGACTAGCATAGGAGCTAGCAGAGGAGAATGAATACCAGAACCGGAACCAGGCTCACTTTTTCCAAGACTTACGGAGGCCAGCTGATCTGCACAACTGCAGTGACGTAACCATCTACTAGAGCATGGCAACAATCTACGTATTTGACCCATTTATTTGAAAGTCTCTTTTGTTGTACCTGGTTCTCAGCCAGCGCTTCTTTAGCCATGTAATGCTCCCTCTTCATCTTCATCTCAACCTCCTCAGGGATGTCAGGGACCATCAAGTCAATCAGACGGCCGATGAAGAAGACCACATGCTGAGGAAGAAAGACAGGAAGAGCCTTCATCAGGTCACTGCATCCCTCATTAACTTAGTCATTCTTCATACAGTGCAAACACACTGAATGTTCATTTATTAACTCATTCATTCATTTATTGCCGACACAGCTCTTTATTGTATGAACCTGATGGGCGACAGACACTGACCTCAAACACGATGACAAAACTGAGTCGTATGGCGAGGAGGTGGAAGTAGTCAGGCAGGTGTTCACCAAGTTCATCCCTGAAACCCCGATACCTGAACAGGACAACAACAACAACAACAACATTATCAACAACAATAACATTATCAACAACATTATCAACATTAACAACAAAAACAACAACAAAAACAACAAAAAAAACAACATTAACAACGACAAATCAATTATCAACAAGGCTGTAGTTGCGGTGACGTTGCCTACCTGCAGGGTGTGTGTTGCAGGCTGTAGTTGTGCGGTGATGTTGCCTACCTGCAGGGTGTGTGTTGCAGGCTGTAGTTGTGCGGTGATGTTGCCTACCTGCAGGGTGTGTGTTGCAGGCTGTAGTTGTACGGTGATGTTGCCAGAGTGAAGTTGATGAAGCCGCTCATCGTTCTGTTTCTGGTGTAGCTGTAGTATTCTCGAGGCAGGAAGGACGAGGTGAATGCGATGAGGAACGCCTACAAACAGGTTGGAAGAAGATCAGATTCTATTGGCTGCTGATCTGTCGTCCATCAGTCCTCACAGAGACAGACACACAGAGAGTCTTACGTTGCTGAGGACGGCTATGTTTGTGATGAACTGCATGATGGGAAGCCAGATGCCAATGTCCTGAGCTCGCTCCGCCACCGGGCGGCGATATTCCATCACAAACTTCTGGGCGTCCAAACGAAGCTCCACCCAGTTGTTGACGAGGGCGAAGAACGGAGCGAGAGGACACGCCGCCACGAAGATGGTGATGAAACCAAACTGAATCACTGAGGAGGAAGAGGAGTCACAGTGAAGAGTGGTGTTAACCCCACCTGTCCGGCTGCCCAAGGAGTATAAATCCAACAGCACTCACCCATTTCCAAGTATTCGCTAAAGAGTCCCTCACAGACCAGCAGCTGGTAGTCTGCCTCCCAGGGAGCAACCTCCTCCTCTTCCTCTCCCTCGACCTCCCTCTGAGCCTGCTCTCCTTCCCCTGTCTTCACCTCCATTTGAGCCTCCTTTGCTTCCTCTTTCTTCACCTTCTTCACCCGAGGACTTATCTTCCTCTTCTGCCACCACGACTTCAACTTCCTGCCAAACAGTGAGCCACAAGGTTCAGTCATAAAGGAGACGAAACTCTCCCGTTTGTTTTATTAAAGGCCGTCACATGACGAACATTCAACAGTCATAAGGTAAAGAAGAACACTGCTCACATTATTATTCCTTCTCATGACTTATTATCAAGTTCTCACAAGTAAAAATCTTCTCTTGTCATTTACAGAAATTATTATCTTATTCTGACAAACTATGCTCTTGTTATTGAAGTTATCCTGCTCGCACAGGCAACTGAGCTGTTCTCAGTAGTTAGTATCTTGTTTGCATCGTTCCATGTGAGTGTTTGTATTTACGGTAAAATGAACTCTTGGACGTTGTTGATCAGCTGTTTTCCCACCATGATGACCAGCAGCTCCTGAGCCAGTTCAATGAGACATCCACCTGCTCCGCACTGTAACGCACACACACACACACACACACACACACACACACACACACACACAAACACACACAAAAACATCTATTCATGTTGTTGTTTCACTTTTAATGAATATAATTGCACCTGGAAACCCCAACCCTACACACACACACACACACACACACACACACACATTTAAAATCCTATTTCCCCCCCTTCGTTTCCCAGTTTCAGAGTGCTCTAACTCTCTGACTCTGACAGTGAGGTTTCTACTGTCATCCCCTCTGCTTTTGGTATAAAGACTTCATGTTCATACAGTTAATATTTGCCTAAAAATACCAGACTTAACCAAAGATACGGCAGTAAACCACAGAGCTGTTGGTAGTAAACAAGCAAATACAATAATTTTCATAAAGTAAAAAAAAACAAAACAACAAGATAGCACTGAACATATTTACCAGTGTTATTTTGTGTTCATGATCTCTTTTAGTTGTGGGACGCACTCATTACCAGTTTATATATATTAATAATCTCGCTACCAACCACAAACATTTTAAGTCTTTTATTCCGACTGCAGTCAGAATGTAAATCATATAATATGGCAGGCTGTTTACAAAGGTTGCTGGTTCGATACCCATCTCCTACTATCGGGTTGAAGTGTACTTAAGCAAGACACTGATGTACAAATTTATACACGTAATAAAAATGTCATGATGAACAGAAGTATACATCAATGATTAATTAATCTTATTTATTAATAACTAGATGTTTCCAGTAGTGTAACAGTTATTTCCTACTTTATACTATTCTTTCATCGTCATCGCAGCCCTCATCAGTATCACAGTGTGACGGACTCACCTCTTCGTTGCGTATTCCAAACAGAGTGTGGTAGTTTCCAGGGTAACCAACGAACCTAAACACACAAACAAACAGCTGATTAACATGTCGAACTTTCTCCTGTGTGTCCGTCCGTCTGCACCACATTTCTTTTGGCTGGATGATTATTAAGCTTCAGGAACGAGACCTGTCATTCTATAATTTTTATTTGCCAAGCTGGCAGAATATTATGCCCTAAAATAATCTGTAATGTGCAGCGCAATATCATAAACGTCACTCACTGTTTTTGATTTAATGCTCATACATTTACGATCACAGGCTGTTTTGCTATTTGACCGCTCTGTGTCTTATTTTTGCAGATAACCTACAGAGTAAAGCCTCTGCAGAGAGCTGTGCCCTGCTTTGGTTGTCATATTGTCCTGTTTGGTTTTAATGTGTGAAGGTTTGATGTCATGAAATAATTATTATATATCAGATGTGGTGACATAACCAACTTGTTTATTTGCAACACACATAATGTGTAATATTATACACTTCATCTATATTACAGCCTGCGGGAGGCGCTGTGGCTCCTTCTTTAATCTCACTGCTTCTTCCTTCTCCTTGAAGAAGTTCACAAAACTCAACATCCTGACTTCAGGGTTTCATTTGAACACTCTTAATTTAAAAGTAAAAACTGAATCATTTCTGTTTCAACCAGAAAGAAACAAAAAATACAGGATACAGGAAGGAAATAAAAAAAAAGAGGAGGGATGGAAATGTTGAGGTGAATCCTGGTTCTGATTGGTTCTCACCTGCCTTTGAAGAAGGCGATGTAAACTGGAGACGAGTAGAAGTTGACGAACTGGAAGATGAATACTTTCAAGATGAACATGTCTTCATATTTAGTCTGAGTCCGATGCATCTCTGACAGAAACAACAACACACTCACAGTGTATTACAGTACTACTACACACACTGTACACACAGAATACATCCATACTGTACACAAAGTCTGTTTACCCTTTTTCATCTGCTATCTACCTGATTTTAACCTTGAAATCTAAAATTTTGATTTTGAAAAACTCAAATTGGTCCTGTAAACCTATGAGGGTTGGGCACTTTGTGTGCATGACACGAAAATCAAATCAAATCAAATCATAATTCACTCCCTCCACTGTTCCCCTAATGTACACATTATTGTCCATCTGAACTCCTCTCCTGCTCTCACTGTTGGTCAGAATAAATGTAAGTTACCTTGGTTTAATTTAAACCTTTAACTTTTTAGCAGAAAAAATACTGTCTACTTTATATTGCACTTATATTCTGTTGTCATTTGCACAGCCCCTTTTACATGTCCATCCTATAGTTTACATGTGATGAATGACCTTGAATTCTTACTATTTGAAAACCCTAACTCCTAACCCTAACCCTGGACAAGTGGATTTTAGGTTATTATTAGGATTTTAAAAGATAAGACTAAAACCAAGGTTAAGGAAGGTGAGAAAGAATGTGTGACTCACCCCAGCGGGTGAGGATGTGAGCCAGTGAGACGTAAACCCTGGACAACAGGAGGATGACCAACAGGTTCAACACAGATCCTGAAAGACTGGCTATTCTCCCGGCCTGAATGAACACCAGAAACTCACTTTTAGAATAAGAAGTCAACAAGTGGTGGAGTTCCTCAGGGAAGCCTCCTAGGATCTTTCCATTAAACCTTATATAGAAAAAAGAAGCACTTGTACTCACAGAGAAACTGACAAAGCTGTTGCCAGACTTGGAGATGATGATTCGGAGGATGGTGCGATACAGAATGATTCCGATGAGGAAAATCAGCACCACAACAATCTGCACACAGGATGTTCAACTTATTGCCACTTCCTGAACACAACCTGAGTGAATATTGTTTCATGTCTTATGAGGAATCCCTGCTCCTGTACCACACCTGTCCTTCGGTGATATTTTGTTTCACTGATTCTCCTTATATGATTTAAAGGACCAGTGTGTAGAATTCATTTTTTTAATCATTTTTGTTTTGATAGGGAAGAAGCTAAGGAATATGAATCCATTGGAACTAAATCTATTTGTATTATTATTGCGAAGTAAATGGAGAGGCAATAAAGGTAAAAAAAAATAAGATTTTTATCTCTGCCTACTGTAAAATCCAAAATAATCAAGATAATGTTACTGATGCAACCAAATGTCTTTCAAATATTAGTCTAAATCTGATGAAAATACACAAAAATAAAACATTTCTGATAGAAATTATGAAGACATGCTTCGGCGGTTTACATGTATTTTTAGTGATGTTTACTGTTTACGTGTTGGCCATTTACTTACAGTTTTACTTCAAAACATTAATTTGAAATAATCCAAATTCCAAGGTTGCGCCAAATTCACAGGGATAGGTTGAATTTGCATTAATTGTTGCGATGTCATCACCACCAGTGGATGTGGTGGAAACTCACCATGATGATGATGACCATGCAGCCGGTCAGAGTTCTGTTGAATCGCTTATTTTCAGGAAAGTAAGGTTCCTCTGCTCCAGTCACCGGGTTCCTCATGGTCATCGGCGCCATGGCTGTGAACTCTGGACGAGGTCGCTCCTGTGGAGGACAGAGGACATTTATGAACTCCCAAAAATACATGTGAAGTTATTTAGTAGCATCATATATTAATCAATTATATAACACAACCTCCTATGCTCATAAAGTTTTTGTATTTGTTCAAGTGAGACCTCAATGTCCTCGAATTCGGAGCAGTCCCAGCGGTGAGACAGAGCTGAACAAGTTCTCTTCCAGTACTCCAGGAAGGTGACGGCCCACAGAGACATGAAGACACTGAGAAACACTGTCCCTGAATTATCAAACAGGAGACCCACCTACAGAGACATAAACGTGAACAGACAAAAATACAGTCAGCCAGACAGGTGAAGTTACTGTTCTGTCCTCAGACAGAATGCAAAGCAAATATTAGTGGTTGTGCGATTGCAGGCCAATTCAATGTAAAGACATGATTTAACTTAAAATCACCCAGCAGGGTTACTGACTATTCTCTTGATACTTGACGATTGGAGATTTCAGCTACTACCAATCATCTGGGGATTTCTAAATGCAAAGTAGCTGCTTCAACAGCAAAAAAATGTTGTGTGAAGAAAAAGAGAACTGAGCGAACTTTCAAAAGGTTAAATAAATTGTTGAACTCATCCCCCAAACTCAAATATCAGAAAGGTGTTGAGGGAGAAGGTTTCAGATGTTGTTCAACCATCTGATGAGTAATTCTGAAGATGCTTATTGACAACATTACAGGCAGGTACCTAGATGGACAGAACAGTACCTTGTAGGTGACACAGATGCTGGAGTAGTTCCAGTAGTCGCAGATGTTACAGAGAGGACACATGAGGAGGCTGTTTCCGCTGTTGCACAGTTCCGTCCTACACACACACACACACACCAGTTACAATAAACAGTTAACAGGTATTTAACTCCTGACACAATGCGGACGCTCTGGAAGGTTCTTTCCTAAGATTACCATGTGTAGATAAAGTGGAGTATTGTCAGCATATTGGCAGAGCGAAATATATTTCCAAATGATTTTATCAACAGAAAATGTTTTGGTAGATAAGAACAGGGTTTAATATGAATGACGTGATGATCATCTGAAGGTATCATTAAAAAAAAGTCACTGGCAATTGCAATGGATTGAGGGGTATGGATTACCAAATTATATAGTTGCGTCTTGAATTTTTCAGCTCTATTTTTGGCCTTGCAGACTTTAATAACAAACTATTTGACTTTGTGCTATTTTACTCTTTCAACCCTCTACCAGGTCAAGACATGGAATAGTTATAAAAAATGTACGTTGTCCAAACTATGTTTATTATGAATTACTTTATCTATGAAGCTATTCCTTCCTTTAATGCAACTCCCAGATTACTTTCTTAACAACAAAGTTGTGTAAATATAATTAAATTTTATCATCAGTCCACAATAACATGCATGGTATCGCTTGGAACTTTACATTCCAAGCTTTGCGAGCTGTCCAATGACAGAAAACCATCCCACTGACATTAATCTATCTTCTTGCCACAATATTTAATATTTATTCTCGCCACAAACAACACATTTTAGTTACGTATGTTTCTGTCCGTTACTTCAGTATGTCAAAGATTTTAGCACCAGTTTTTAGTTGCACCAGACTGGATCCCTGTGGTGGAAGCTGTGGCTTTTTGTAACAATCTAGTGGCTGTATTGAAGTACTGACAGTAATTAGCCGATGAAATTGTTTAAATGAGATGAATCTGGTCATACTTGTTTCATCCTAATAGTTCCTTGCTTTCTATATTTATTAGCTTGCCATTGAGCATCTTAGTCATAAATGAAGACTGATCAATATCATTGTGTTTATTAATATTTCAATGTTTTTGGGAGATTTATTAGTTATTTGTAACATGGCTATATGATAATAAATAGTGCTTTGAAGTAAATAGTCAACATCTAAACAGTAAACAGGGCCAAAACATGGAGACTGCCTGAATATATCTTCATAGATTCTATGATAAATGTATAAATATTTTAGTGTTAGTATTTTCATCATGACATGAGTTTATACTTACGCTGGAACATCAGTGGCCATGAGAAAGAACCCAATAAAGAAGATTAACAGCCCAACGATAGACGCCGGCAACAGCCAGCCAGTGTAGAAACCTACAGTCGGACAGTGACACAGTGATTAAACAAATAAAGTGTTAATAGTTGGTTGGTTATAGTTGCTTACTAGTGTGGTTGCTATAGTTACCGAGCCAGGCGAAGTAAAGGGCTATCTTCTCTCCATAGTACTCTCTAATGTGATCCAGAGGTTGGTAGCGTCTAAAGCAGGACCACTTGGCCCAGTATGTATACAGGATTTGTCTCAGACCTAAAGATGTGGGGGGCACTGGGGTCTTTGGCAGCTGGAAACCTCCCTGTAAACATGGTATAAAAGTAGAACATACTGTAAGATAAAAATAATAAATAAATAAAATAATAAATAAAAATAATGACATACCATATAAACAATGACTTAGTATCTCAGAATAATAAGAAATAATGACAGGGTTAAGGATTAGGGTTAGGAGGTCACCTCGTGCAGTGGGTAGGCAGCAGTGAAGACCTGCTCACTCAGCAGTCGGTCAATTCCCACCTCCCCTGTTTTCACTTTACCGTACGGAGTCCTGGCCAGGATCTCATAGAGCTGAAGAGACAGGACACAGTCACTGTAGTAGCTTACTGGACAAAACAAATGGCCCTGATAACACTTCCTGTCTAGCTGCTGGTCCACTAGCTTCTGAGACCTGATACAATCTTTAATTGAAGGATTTTTTACTTGGTCCTTGTAAAAAAATAAGTGAAATGTGCTCCTGTGGTTTGAAGAGTGAGGCTAGCAGTTTCTGCCACTTTCAGTCTTAGTACAAAGCTTTTGTACTACTTTTGTTTTTGCTCCGACCAGGACTCTGACTCTGGGGATGAAGACCCGGCAGGTTCAGGCAGCGACAGGAGAGGAAGATGAGCCAGATTGTAGCCAGTTAATTAGTCAGTAACTGTTAACGTTATCCATCATCCATCGTATCACCAGGATTAGTTTCAGTGAAGTTGGAACTTATTTATTTTGTGTGTTGGACATCCAGACTGTGTGATGTTACAACGTGTTGGAATAAATGAACTAAATGTTCAGACTCATTACTGCTGTTTCTATTAGTGTTTAAGAGATTATACAGATTATAATGGATACAGTAATATCAGAAACATGAAATGACTAGTCAACTATTGGCTTTATCCAACAAGTGCCAGTCGACCAGGGCAATCTTTAGTCGGGGCAGTTTTACCCAATGTGGAGTGGTAGCTCTGTCTCTCTATACAAAGACAGAATAGTTTTCATTGTTGGCAGCAAACTTTCACAGGATGTTAAAACCAACAAATTCCCGAAATTCCTACCTGCTTTACTGTGTGTGTATGTGTGTGTGTGTGTGTGTGTGTGTGTGTGTGTATAGGTGTTTGTGTGTGTGTGTGTGTGTATGTGTATGTGTGTGTGTGTGTGTGTGTGTGTGTGTGTGTGTGTATAGGTGTTTGTGTGTGTGTGTGTGTGTGTGTGTGTGTGTGTGTGTGTGTGAGGGTTTATAGTGCTAGCGTAATGTGTGTCTGTGTTTGTAGATTGTGTTTGAGGAGGAGGCGTAGCCACTTGCAGGATCCTTCTGCTGACTGAAACATCCTGGAATCCGAGAGGTCAGTGTGTCTACGTCTCTGAGCTAATCAGAGGAGACTGTGAGGACCACGTCATAAACTATGTTCAGTCAAATAATGCTGTGATCACAGTGCGTCCAGTTTACTGAAGTCCTCAGATCAGAACAGGACTGACACCTCATAGCTCATGATTATTATTAATTTATTAGTATTACTGTGTAATTGCTGGTGAAATCACAGAAAAAAGAATCCACTTTTATAAAATTGTATTTTTTTCACAAACAGCTGGTTTATTTAGTTTTATATCAGCTTTTTTGAATATATTTTTTATTGTTTTTATTGTATTTACTTTTACCCTTACAAAATCGGATTTATTGTTGTTATGTGAAGCACTCTGGGTCTGTATCACAGGTACTATATAAATAAAGTTGCGTGGCATTTGTATGAAACAACTGTCATATTTTGAAGCAAAGGGCCACTGATGAGTTGGGAGTTAGACCGGGTTGTATTTTCCTAAATAAAGTTGTGTTTAATCAACTGACTGACAGAGAGACCTCGGGGCCAGTCACTGTTGTTCCAGCACAGGAGTTCTGTTTGTTTTCTGGGTGTTGGTATTATAAAGAAGCAACCATGTACTGTATTTGTTCACTGTATTTAAAAGGGACTTGGAATACCTGGACATGGTCTTACATGACACCTGCTGTTAGGCAACATAGCCTTTATTACTTTTTAAAGTCCAGATTAAATAAAGAAAATGCCCTTTTAACCTTTTAATTTCACATCTCCAGAGATCTTAATATATTGTACAAACATTTACCAATGTATGCCAAAAAAAAATAGAATATGAATTTCTTTGTATTTTTATATCAAGAGTTTTTTTTACATAATGACTTTATAGCGAAAGTGATTTGGGTCAAACTGGATCATATTTTATGGAGAGAGCCTCATTTCCACTAACTGCTAATGTAGCTGCCGTTAGTGTGCAACTGAACAGGGCTCAGCAGCCTCCCACTGAACACAACCTCAGAGACAGACAGAAGACAGTTTGACGACAGCGGTACCGAGGTGATTTATGGAGTTTCCAGATGGACTTGTTGATAAAAGAAGCTAACTGTCGCTAACGTGACTTAGTCCCAGGGTGCCAGGAGTCAAACACCTCAGTACTTTATTTCCTGTTGTCAAACTGTCCTTCTTTGGCCTCAGATGCTGCATTCGGTCCCAGTCCAGCAGAATCAGCACACACACATTTAGTGCTATTGACTCCCGCAACAAGTCCCTCCCCAGCTGCCTGTTTTTATAGGTAACACAAAAATATGAGGAAGTAAAGACCTCTCTGCTTTCTCTTTCATGTGGACTTTAAACTTTACTGATAAAGATGTGAAACTGAAGTCTGAACTCACCACCTGGTGTCTCTGAGTCGTCTTGAAGAATGTCTCTTTGTTGTCGCTGGCTAGAAACCTGCAGACAGAAAAAGACTGGATTATTTTAGTGTACTGACACTTCAACTGCTTTCAGTAGTGTTGATCTCTTATTCTTTCAGTGGTCTGCTTATAGTGTTGGTACCTGTCCAGCTTGCTGGTCCGAAATTGACAGGTGTAGTAGTCCGGTGGGGGGTTAGGGACATCGTGAGACAGAGGGCTGCGACACGACAGTCGGGACATGGCCTGCTCAGACCAGTTAATTATTGGAGTAGTGACCACCTGTAGGACAGAAGACACACTGAGGACACTGCAGCCGTGTTTAAAATATGGGACACATTTTAATGGAAAATCTGTAAAAGTAAATGAATTGTTGTAAATTTTTAGTTCTAAAATAACTACTTTGATGCCCCAACCCCCCCAAGGAAGTTCAGTTTTTGTACCTCTAAACCCCTGCGTACAGTCATCCTGGTATCACAACCCTAAAAAAAGTGCATAACTGCATCTCTGTGTAAACACAGCTAGGTTACTGCTGAGAAAACAGCAATTAAAATGTCCTTGATAGGAGGAAAAGAAATGCCTGAAGAATCAGGGTTATGTTGTGTTTAGGGTAAGGGTTGTGCTGAATTAGGGCACTGCCCCTAATAGTCAGCTAAACTGCTGAGAATAGTCTTAATCGACCCGCTTTAAATCAGTCTGACAGGCACAGACAAACAAAAACAACATTAAACTTTCCTGTTGAGACACAGGAGGTCTCTAACTGTAACTGTACCAGCTGCTGTCATTGACCTGAGCCTGGTAAACTGCCGTTTTCTATTTTGAAAATCTCAGAAATGGATTCAGCATCTCCGATAATCCCCACTCTCTACTACATTGTCCAAGACGTTGCTGAAATATTGTCTGAATGCTGGGAACCCAAACTGTACGTTGCTGGCAAGTCGACTAAACCTTGAAAAAAAGACTGAACTTTGTTTTCTCTGAGGAGGAGGAAGAGGGGTTTTACCTGCAGAGGAACTCTGAGACCGATCTCTTCAGCGTAGTAACAGAGGACACTCCACGGAGCGCTGAGGAGGACAAAACAGATCTTCTTCTTCGCCTGAAGGACCTCCCTCTATAGAGACAGAAACTGGTTTAAGTCTTTTGAGTATTAGTTTGAAACTCTTCATCCTTCACTGCTCACAACAAGGTTCAATTCTGGGTCCCTTCCCCTTTCTCTTTCTTTGCTTGAGTTTTTATTCACTTGCTGCTTCTACTACACATTTCAGAAAGAAAATATTGTACCTTTTACTCCACAGCATTCACATTTGTCAGATTATTAATATGAAATATGATCAATTCATAAGTGATGTTGTATTTTAATGGATTAAAAGTAATTAAAATGAGCTCCAACTTTAACAGCTACAATATTAAAGTGATGAACATATTAAAGCATTATTAATTAAAATCCAACAATATCATATATTTTTCTGAAATGGGCCATTCTGTATAATTAGTATTTCTACTTTAATGCTTCACTAATAATATTCAAGTAATATGATATAAATAAATATTATAACACTGTCCATTGACTTTATAATACTTTTGTACAGTTCTTTTAATTAAGCCAAATCTGGAATAGCTTGAAGACTTTTACTTTTACTACTTTTATTTAAAGCAGCAACAAGGAGCTTTCATTTTCTGTTGATTCTGACTGCCCCTGTGGACAAAAGCGGCAGTGTAGTTCTCCTCCTTGTAGTATCAACATAATAATTAAGTTCATTTGGACTCTGAGTCTATGAAATGGGAATTCAGAGCCAGAATCTTGAGATAATATAGTTACATAACATTTAAAGGGTCCATTGTGCTGCTAAATGAGTATTTTTTATTACATCTCAGTGATCTCAAGTATTTTCTATTTGAAATGTTGCAGTATTTTGATAGTATTAATGTATGAATGTATAATGTTTTTATATTCATTTATTTCATTTAGTTCAAGTACATTTTGCAGATAATACTTCTGTACTGTCACATTAATACATTTTAAATCTAGGACTCTACTGGTATCGATATGTTTACTAACGTCATGTGACAGGTGATTTGAATAAGAGGAACTGATCAGTTTTATCCAGATGTCTCAGAGTTGTTTGTTTTGCTCACCTGTTCGAGCAGCAGTCCAGACTGTATCAGGTTGTTTAGAAACTCCTCCCTCCACATATTGAGGGCGAGGTTTTCACCTGTACCCTCCTCCTTCTCTGAGCTCAAAGGCTCCTCCCACACCAACACAAAGTCTGTCCAATAGGAACACAGAAATCAAACCACCACTGCTGACATCTGCTATTGGCTGCTCTTTAGTGATGTCACAAGAAGTTGTTTTTACTGTATCTAACTTCCTAAACGAGGCTAATCTATGTTGAAAATACAACCACATTTTGAAGCTGGTTAAAAAATAAAACAAGGATTTATATCTAGCTAGCTATAATTATAGCTAATGTCAGCAAAATACCTGCTAACTAGCTAGCTAATTTACTTCAATATCAATTAATACAATCAATATACAGTAATTGACATCTATTGTGTATTGCTAATATAAGCTTTCAGATGTAAATTGTATGTATGTGTTTTCAGAAGTAACTAAAAGTAGCTAACAATGGATGTGGATTAATAACATAGTTAGCCTTTGGGTTTTCTCATTTTGTTTTGTTATATGTATGTGGTTATAAATATTAATAAGAATTCTGTTGTGGAAATGGACCCTTCCTGACCACTGCCCCTTTTGGAACAGCATTCAACTTCCTCCTTTCCTGTACTTAGTTATGCTATATGCTAGGCTAATCTATGTTGAAAAGACGACCACATTTGAAGGAATCTAATCTCACCCGAGGAGTTAACTGCTTTCCAGTACAACAAGTTGGAAAACCAAGTTCTAGCCTGGTTAGCCATTAGCCATTGTTGGCAATACCAGGTGATAATGCATTACGCTGTATTTTGCTTATGCAAACATGTTGTCCACAGACAGAATGGGACTGTACTATATGTACAACTGATTTAAGACACATTCAGGTGTGGTAAAGGTCTAAGGTGACCTGCTGAGGAGTCTTTGTTCATCCTGTCCTCATGGCAGTACTGACTCACCACAGCGTTTGTTTTACTCACCGATTCGAGTTGATCCGTCGCTGAACACGTTCCTGTCTCGAGGCTGAACAGGTGCATCCTGGGAAATAATAACAAAACAAGTTTTTCACCTGTTTTGACTTGATAAACAAGATTAAGATGAAACTGAACAAACCTTTCTTGCAGTGACCTTTTAGGACTCATCTGTGTAAAAACATTTGTCTTAAAGCTGCATGTGAACACAACCTTAACATATCATCACCTCGTAAGCTCATGTCTAAATAAAAAAACATCGTACAACAGGGGAACGCCCTACAGGGATGTCCAAATTTGCACGGGTACTGGAGGGATGTTAAAAGGAAAGAATTAATCCAATACAAAATCTTAGACCCAGAGTTATTCATCTTGGGCACCCCCTTATATCTGTTTTCCAGCCAATACAGGCACATTGTCAACCCAGAAATGTTGAGTTCCCCAAAGTTTTATGTTAGAAATTCAAAGTATGGTTCCCCAGCTTTTAGAAACCACCAGATGTTAACTTGCTGAACTGCTGTGTGCATAATTAGCATTAACAAACTTAATAACATATACAGACAATATTTCAGCAACTGATTGGCTGATTTGCACAATATAGGAGGTTTTTTTGAACCGGACATGGACTGGGCTTGTATTTTGGAATTAAAAAAAGCTGAATGTACTTGGTGTGAATGGTCAGACGTAATACTTTTTAGCTGTGCAGCGTTTTGTTACTGACTGCCTCTTTGCCGCTGCTGTTATCTTTTAAGCATATAAATAACCCCTAATCCACTTAGTCCCACACCGGGAGTTGGATTATGGCCACTTATTTCTGAAATGTCAAAAATAGATTATCTTATATTGTCCAAATAGGTGATTATTAATTACAGATAATGTTAGTCATCTGTGTTATTAAATAATTAATTAATTAAATAATTTTCCTGGTTAGTTTGAATTGTTTAAATCAGTATTTCAGTTTTTTTGAGCTGCTGACCGAGAAGAAGAGGATTTTACTCAAATCTATGTAGGGTTTAATAGAAAGAATAGAGGTTCTAGGATGCTTCCATGAGGAACTCCACCCTATAGACTTCAACTTTTTATCAGCTTTTCAAATCTCCTTCTGTTATCTGGATTTTAATTTTTCCAATAGCCAATCAGTGTGTGAATGACTGCTAAAAATGTAGACTAGCCATGTAAAAAAAAGAGACAAGAGATAACAAACATAACATTTCTATGTCTATGTGTTTTGTTGTTTGTTTGTTTTTTAATTATTATTATTTGTTTGATTAGTATCCTCTTCGGTTTTATTGGTTCTACTGTTGGTTTTTATTTCTCATTCATATATTTATTCCGTGAAATTCACATATAAGAAAGTCATATAAGAAAAAGCAGAGGTGCTTATTTACTAATGGAATGCTGAAAATAAAATATTTATATTTTTTAAAATACGTAACATAACATTGTCAAAAAACGACAAAATCTAAACTATGAGATTGGTGAAATGTAATTTAAATTAAGTTTTGAATTTCCTGTAATACAGTACACTGATGTGTGTTTTAACATCGGCCATTATTGTGGAACTGGGAGAGCCTGATATTTGTTGAGGTTGTATGCGCTGTAAAAAGTTTGAAAAACCCTTTTATTTCCCTTCACCATCACTGTTTTTATTGGCTACATTCTGATTACCAGTTAATTAGTTTTGAGTTTTTACTGTTCCTGCTGTTTCATGTCTCCATTGTTGTTACTAAGGCTGAAGACAAACATTGTGGCAAGAGGAAGAACAGAACAAACAACTGCTGCTCTCTATTGTTCTCTAATGGTTCGTCACTCAGTCGGTGTTAAACAGTGTGGAGCCGCTCTGTCGCACATAATCACACACTTCCTGCTGCCGCCACACAAAAATAAACACACACTGAAGTTTCACTAAAAAACAGCTGAGAGGCTTAAACACTGAAGCAGTTGATCTCTGTACTTACAACTTGCCTGGAATTGGGTTTTTTCTCTCTTTTTAATGCTAGGCTAGCAGATTACACCTGTTTACAGTTTGTGCTTAGCTAAGCTAAAAGTATGTCATTGATCAAGGGCCTTAAATCCCCCTGAGGTTGAATCTTTAGTATTTTTCCTTGGAATTTGATGATTTTTGGGACTTTGAAGGATTTTATATTGTGGGATTGAAAAAAAGCCATTTTTGAAGGTTGATTTATATTTAAATGTGTCTACTGTTGACATTTAGATAGTTTTTAAGTTGATTTTCAGAGAAAAGTTGTAGAAAATATGATCACATAATAAACTAAATATGTAAGGGTGCCCAGGTAGCTCAGTGAGTAGAGCTGGCGACTCATTTACCAAGGCTGAGTCCTTGCTGCAGCTGTCTGTCACTATAATAAAGGCAAAAAAGCCCCAAAAATATACTTAAACTACTACTTAAAAAAAACTAAATATGTAAAATCCAAGTAATTTAAATCTATAATCTAATTTCAGTGGTCAGAAGACTAGAAAGGCGCTATACAAGTACAGGTCCATTTACCATTTCCACATTAAGACCTATATTCTATATGTTTCCCATGTTACTTCACCACCATTATTTCTAAGCTACTGGCTGTTGCTAATTGCAGATAATGTTAGTTATCTGTGTTAGTAATGCGATGGCCGATCAGTATTTCAGGATTTTAGTTGAGCTGCTGACCGAGAACATGAGGATTTAACTAAAATTTATATAAACAGTTTAATAGAAAGAACAGAAGTTTTAGGATGCTTCCCAGAGGAACTCCAAAAGAGATTGACTTCACCTTACTATCAGTTTTGCCAAATCATCAGTGTGTTATTGATAAGCTCACGCTGTTACCATGGTGATGGCGCCGTAGTTGTTCTCTGGCGTGGTTTCCATGGCAATGAGTGTGGTGCTGTCCTCCTTGTGCTCCCTCCTGCTCCTCATCCTTCCTGACCTCCTTTGTCCTCCTCCTGCAGAACTACAAACACAAACATACAGATACAGTATACTCATGCTTATGAATCAAAATGTAAAAAAGTGACTTTTATTACAGTTCTACAACTTTTAAAATTCTGATTAAAGTACAAAAATAAAACAATAACAGCACTGCTGTAAATTTAAGCCTGATTATTTGTATTATAGCAGCTTTCGTCTGTATTTAAAGGTCTTGCGTTGGTTTTACAGTGTAAATATATTTAGTTAAACATTAATTAATTGAACAAATAGATTTTATTTCAAATTAAAGCTAAACACTATATTTTTATAGCTTTATACCTGCAAGCGGAGTTTGCCGGCTGTTCGGTCCCGTTCTTTGCATCTAAACTGACTGTTGTGGATTACTGAGACTGAACGATTCCGTACCAAGTCTGTTCCGGTCTGAGGAGATCCGGATACACAAGGACAACAAACTGGAATTGGAATCTGTGGATGTTCGTCTGTAGCTAGCTGCTACACCTTCAAACACAACCTCATTTGGCCATCCATGAAAAAAGTACTTAACCTCCCACTTTTCTATAGCAATACATACTTCCTAAGGGCATTGCACTAGTTGTACAAACAAAATAAGAATTCCTGCTTCTAGCCTGTCAATCAGTCTCACAGCACACATACAGTCAGCCATGAAACTATAACAACAGAAACTTCAGCTGATGTTTGTTAAAGTGACTCTGCAGAGATGTGGGCTGGTGCCAGCTGGCAGGGCTCTGATTGGCTGCAGGGCTCACACTGATCAGGTGACGGCTTTCTTAGCCTGTTTTTTATTTAACTTTTAATTTAATTTATGTATAACATTAACCTGACATCTCTCTGTATTTACATTATTATCTGGTTGTTTTATTAACTGATTGTCTGTCAGCTGTAAAACACCTTCCTGTATGAAACATTAATAATTATCTGTGTCTGTTCAACCAACAAAATTATCATGCCGTGCACAGAATGGGTGGGGCTTAAATCATAAGTGGACGGGACTAACCAGTTGTTCATTTAAGCCTGAAATTGATATGGGTTGATCAGGAGCTATTATAAAACTATTTACAGTATCAGAACTTATCTTCAGACCAACGTTTTTGATTAACAAACCTATTTACAGAACAATTTCTTTCTTATTTCAGGATTTTAGTTGACTTTTTTGAGCTACTGATTTATTAAAATGTATATAAGGTTTAAGAGAAAAAGAAAGGCTCTAGGATGGTTCCCTGAGGAACTCCACAAGTTATTGACTTCAGTTTTTGTGCTCCCTGTTTTATTAAAGCACTTCCTTGTATATGTTTTTCGTGTATAATTACAATGTCCTGTTGTTTAAATGTGCATTTATGCATGTTGCCTATATGGAATACAATTACAGATTAAAATTTGATGTGGTGTCATAATTAAATGTAATGTTAATCTGAATGTTGTGTTGTGTTTTATTATTTTATTTTTCATGTTTTTAACTACTTTGTTTTTATTTTTACCAACATTTGATTCCGTAAGTAGTGGTGGTAACTAAAATACAAATATTAGTAGTTATCGCTACTTGAGAATTTATTATTCTGACAACTTTACTTTTACTCCCCAAATCTCTACACAAATATCTGTACTTTCTTTACATAAAATTTTAAAAATAGGATAATTTTACATTTGAGGGGAATTATTGATTATTATTATAATATTGACTGTACGTGAAAATGACACATTTATACCACATGCAGAAACATTTTTGTTTTTGCCCAAAACAGCATTGGATAAGCATAAAGCATTTTTTCATTGCCAACATTTAGCTTAACTTTGGAGCGTTATTTAGCTTCCTTCCTGACAAGGGATGTGTTAGGTCCTCTAGTTTCATATGATATGTTTAAAGTAGACCCTGATAAAGCCTCTGTAAGACAGGGTAGCGTGGAAGAGGGAAGGATAATAGGGTGGCCAATCAATTTTCAGGCACCCCCTCTGGACACGCCCCAGCTGTTTCTTGACCTCACCACATGAGACCAGACCAGACTGGTTTTAGGTTTTGTACAAACTGTAAACTCTGTAAACACGTATGTGTTAATTGCTGCTGACAGTTTGTCTCTATTTCTGTTTGTTGTTCTCTGTGTGCATTAGTCTTCTGTTATTATCAGTCAGCTGTAACTGTAACTAACATGTGAAAGCTGATGTGCAAATAAAGGTTGAATGACTGAAACACAAATATTCTGATTTATAATTAAATGAAACTTTGTTGTACTTTTACTCAAGTAAATGATCTCAGTACTTCTTTCACCACTACCGACGGCAATTATTTAATTGATTAATCAACTGACAAGAAATGGAAATAATGGAAAACTCCATATCTGAAGCTTTCTGATGATTTTAAGAAATCCTTCTGTTTTAAGACATAAAGATGAAACATCTGGTTTCATTTTGGATTATTAGAAGAAAATGACTTCTTGATTATCAGCTTCCTGATCCTGTCAGGGACAGTTTATCTGTTGATCACAAACAGAAACTTAAAATAAAAGTTGTTCCTCTCACCGTGTTTAATAGAAGCTAAAATGTCATCAATCAATGTAAATATGTTAGATAAAACAATGGAACTAAAAACTTTGATTGAAATGCTTGGGTAAATATGTCTTTTGTTTTGTTTTTATTTCTAACTTCACCTTTCACTGTGAAAAAATGTCCCACAGATGAGTAGTGGAAAGTCAAATTGATTTATAAATAATATAATATTATCATATCATTTATTTTATTTTGGCAGTTAAGCCCCTAAAAAAACACCTACAACTACAACAGTAAAATCCCTTTACATGAATCTAATGATAGCAGTTATAAAAGCACAGCAGTTGAATAGTTTAACTACATTTTAGTCATTATACACATACTTTTACTGGAGTAACACCTTCAATGCAGGACTTTTCCTTGTAGTATTTTTACAATGTGATATTAGTACTTTTAATTAAATAAAAAGGATCAGCATACAAACAATTGGTGCAGTTGATTTATTCTAATCGATCATTAGTGTAACAGTTTCAATAAAGCCGGTCAACTCACTCAAAATGACATATCCTTCTATAGAAATAAAATTCAAGAAATAAATTATTATTTACTATAGTTTATCTTACTTTTTTTTACAGAAATTCCTCTCAAAATAAACTTCATAAAACTGTCTGTTTACAGAACATTGTCTGATTCCTGTCCCGGAAATAATCTGAATTATCATTAAAATCTAAATATTTCAGGCCAAACACACAGAACAACCAACTAACAACAACTTCAACAAGGTGATTGATCAAAAAAAGTACCTAATTGACAGTATTGATTATGTATTAATGAATTTGACACGCATATCCTTGCTCTATCTTTATGAGGACCCTATACCTATATACCCCGTTAAGGCATTCCCCAGCTCGTATCCCTAACTGTAACCATCTTAACACCAACCCTCAGCCTAAACCTAATCCTTAAAACCAAGTCTGGACCTTCAAACAGACCATTGAAGTTAAGTGAAGACTGACCAAAATGTCCTTGCTTTCCAAAAATATCCTCACTTTCTAAAGACATTGGTCCTCACAAAAATGGATGTGCAGACTCACCTGTGTGTGCACTGGTTGTCGGGGCTCAGGTGAAGCTCAGATGAGTCTCCAGCTCGAAGCAGAGCAGTTGCATGTGCCTGTTTGTGTTCAGTTTCAGCTGCAGGCTGACTGCTGTAAACCCCGCCCCTCATGCTAACCCCGCCCCCCCCTGCCTCAGTGCCTCCTCTGTCATAAAAAAACACACCTGAAGTTTGTTCCTGTCAGGTGTCCTCCTGACTTGTACCTGTTTATGAAATCTTTATAGTGATCTTTAAACTGAACTCAACACATAATGACATGAATAAAGATTTGTGTGTAAAGCGCATTATTTGTTTTGCTTCTTTGTAGAAAAAATAGAATATTTTTCTTCTAGTTTTTATTCAAATGATTTTTTGGGGGGCTGTTAACCATGAACTTTTCTGACTTATTTATACTATTATATTATTATTTATTTATATTATTATATATAATCTAATTACCTCAGTGTTGGGGAAAGTTTTACAAAGTAAGAAAATGAAAACATAATCCCTTAAAAATAACATCTTTTTATGTCATTGGCCAAATAAAATAGTTTGTAACAGAAAAAGTGTCAGGTCAAAATGCACATATGAGGACTCATTGGAAAGGTAACACGCTCTAGTTTGAGATTAAAACACAAACCACACTACATCAATTTAAACATGACTCACTGACCTATAACTCGGAATATTCTGTTCCAAATTAATCAATAATCAACACTGATTAACTGGCTAATAACAATAACAATAATAATAATAATAATAATAATACCTTTATTTGTAAAATACAAACAATATTTGTAAAATACTTCCAAAATTATGATTGTTATATGCATATGATACATTTAACAATCATAATTTTAAACCTCTTCCTCATCATCCATATTTGTATAGATTTCAATCCTACTGGGTGTCACCAAAGCTTCACGGGGGATTACAAGGCCTTCTTGATTTTAATGGCATAAGAAAACTTACACAAAAATATACACGGCAGGCTTATATGCCGGCATTTTGTTCATTTCGTTAAAGAAAAATTAATTAAAAAGTTCAGATTATTTAAAATGTAAACTGAACACAAGCTATATTCACAAAGCCTTTTACTCTCTGATAAACAGCCTCATTCTGCAGTAGAAATCCAAAAAGCTGATATAATATTGAAGAAAACACTGAATCTGCCAAAAAAGAAAGTCTGTATGATGATGATAATGATAAAAATACAAAATGCAGACAAGAAGAATAATCTCTAATCAGTATTCACAGGAAATAATCTGCTCAACATTCATCCAAGTCTCTGGTTTTCCACAAACTTCCAGCAGTTATTGTGTTCACTGTTTGGGTCCATTGTTCAGCTTATATTTGTTTGTCTATTGTTATTGTCGAATATGATATGAAATAAAGCTGCAGGCAACAATGATTGGGCCTCGCAGGCTGCACGTGTCGGGCCGGCCTGCGGTTGCGTCATGTGTCGGCATCAACATTTCACATACATCAGATCAACATTATTTCCTGTTTCCAATAGGGGGTGCAATGAGTATTACGGAATATTTGCATGTTGTAGCACAGTCACAAATGGAAATTTTAATCATGAAGGTCTTAAGATCACATTGACCAAATTTGAAGTCGGTCTGATCAGTTCCCTAGGAGGTCTGTTAAAATATGTGCAAACCGCCAAAAATGACCACTAAATTTTAAAATGGCCAACTTCTAGTTGGGTTTGGCATATGGGTCCAAGAGGCTTTTTTATAAGTCTGGTCATGATACACGTGTGTACCAATTTTCATATATATCAGTAAAATGTGCGTTTAGAGCCACAGTACAAACAGGATGTGGGATTTGGTTACAGATCTAGATCATAAAATATATCTGGTAACTAAAGGTTGATCTACTTGTTTGAGGTTTGGCCAAACTCTGACTGACTTCCTGCCAAGTGTGAACCTATCGCCACCCATCGGTTTGTTGAGTCCCGCCGTGACAGTTGGAGCCAGCAGTGGTGACGTACTGCGAGTTGAGTTGCTCTCACAACAGTAAAATGTGTTTGTGAACAGATTTGAGGAGAGAAATATTCAACAACTGAATCTGGATCCATATGTGATCAGCACTGTTTGACAGTTTGATCTGAGTTTGGTGCGTTGAGCTGGACGAACTCACTGAGAATGAGCTGTCAATTACAAGGTAGCCCCGCCCTAAAGCATACCCTGCTTTATGGTCTATTTTACTCTCAATGGGACCATCAGTTACTAAATGAACATCATGCTGTATGGAAGAAGACTGAAACTAGAGACTGTGACCAGAAACTCATCAGGAAACTGTTTACTGAACTCATAAGGGGCTCAGAGGTAGAGCAAGTCGTCCACTAATCAGAAGGTTGGCGGTTTGATCCCCGGCTCCTCTCGCTGCATGCTGTGCATCGGTGTGTGAACGGGTTAGTTTCTGTTCTGGTGAGCAGATGGCACCTTGCATGGCAGCCACTGTGTATCAGTGTATGAATGTGTGTGAATGGGGTAAGTGTGGCATGCAGTTCAGTGGTCGAAAGACTAGAAAGGCGCTATATAAGTACAGTCCATTTACCATAAATCAAGTCAGAAAACAGCTAATTTCTCCATAAGACTGAATACTTTTGGTGTTTTATCGCAGCTCCCCCTGCTGGCTATTTCATAGAATGCAGGTTTATGACACTTCACCTTAAAGCTCTGTCCATTACATATACTGTCAATGCACTGAACTAGATCCTTCTTGTCTCTCTCCACTTCAGCCAAGACATCAATGAAGTCATCGTTGCCTTTTTCAGAGCTGAGATGAGGGTATGGTCAAGACAGGATTTCTGGGTAGTGATCTTGGTGATATTCAGCATAAAATGTAAGAAAGTAATAAACATAATTTTAGGTAGTATTTTTAAACAGAATGGCATCAAGCACAATGATCTTATTTTGCTACTTTCCCTGTTGTTTCAGACACTCCCTGCCAATTGTCACATCACTGTTTATGCAGTCAGTATCTTAATATTTGCATTTACAAACAAACATCCTGAGGGTTGGACCTGGACCCTGCACTTTAGTTTAAAGTCCCTCCAGTCAGGAATCACTGTTTGTTTTTGTTCCTACAGTATGACGTTTCTTTGAACTGCGTCTTTTCCCTCACATTCAAATATTTTACAGCATCAAACCACAATAAACTCACTAAAACCTTGTTTTGGACGTTAGCTAAACGGGCAACAACTTTCCTCTTCCTTCGTGTGTAGACAATAAGTCCATCGGTAATAATAGTCGACCCCATTTCATTATCAACATCCATCGTTGCTCACGCCCTCTGTATTGTGGCTTTTGCAATTTGTTGACCCCTCTCGGCCACCGTACATCACAACTTGTTTGGAAGTCAATCCTGGTCCAGTGTGATCCACCAGTGCACTGAGAAAGGACTAAACAGTTAAGTAGGAGACATCTTGTGTGCAGCTGGAAAACTTTAACAATGAACAAAACTTACATATCATAGATTGTGGAATTTTTAATTAAAATGAGCAGATGCTTTTCTAAGGGTTTTAATGTGCCAGTTCTACTTTTCTTTGCAGAAAAAAAACAATCAAAACTCAGACACACATTTATATAAATGTCTTAATACATGTCCAGAAGGGATATTTGATCAGTTCTACTGCAGTAAAAGTCGTAATACCACAATGTAGAAATACTCAGGTACATGTAACAGTTCTGCATTCAAAAATTTTGTTAATTAAAAGTACAAAAGCATCACAATATACGTAAAGTACCCAAAGTAAGTACTCATTAAGCAGAATTTCAGAATATTAGGCCTACGTTAAGCACTTTAACTTAAGGACTTTTACTTGTAATTGAGTATTTTGTATAGATAGATACTTTATTTAGCAGTGAAGCAGATAATAAATACTGTATGTATTATAGGTGTTGTGCGTGTGTAGATTTTATAATCGGAGCCTCTTAGTTTCATTATGTTCAGTGTTTATTGTGTTTCTGCAGATCAGTGACAGCAGCTTTTTGAAATGCAGCTCTCTGATTGGATGAGCAGAGTGGTGACGCCCCCTTCAGGACACAGACAGAGTTTTCAACAAGCTGAGTTTATTCTACATCAGATCTACTGTTGTCTACTGTACACACAGATTATTACACAGCGGACACACACACACACACACACACACACACACACACTTATACCTCAATACTTGTGAGGACACTCAGTGACATAATGCGTCCCCTGACTGAACCTTTAAACCGTAAATGTTCCCACAATGCACTGGTGTCCTCACAGCGATGGTTTAAAATGGAGTCCTCACAAAGATCGAAAACAAACACACACACATACAGACAGAAACAGAAACGTCTTTGGCAGGAAGCAGCTTCTTCTTCTGCTGAACAAACGACGACACACACACACACACACACACACACACAGGAGCTGCACAGGATTGGATGGTGATGTCATCATGACAGTGATGTCATCAGGTGGCGAAGCAAACACACACACACACACAGACTGACAGTATGCTGTGTATAGTGTTGTGAGAAACTAACTTTAATATCTGAATATTGATTGCAGGTCGACAGCTCCACCTGCTGTCAGAGTCAGATACCTGCACTGAACAGCAACACAAAGGGATTATGGGAAATGAAGTTGAGGTAATGTGTCTTTAAACCAATGTTTGTTTTTAAAACTGATGAAGGTTTAATGTAACTGAAATTTATAAAACTTCATATTTACTTCTTAATATATTTTTATATATTCTATTTATTTGATATAGTTTCTCCATATAATATTTTTTATTTCTGGTCCAACTTTCTTTTCTTGAGGCTCTAACAGCAGAGGGAGTCGTGTGTTCAGGGTCTGAATTTATCAAACTGCTAAAAGTTACATTTTGGGAAAATTTATTTTAGTTACAGATTAAAGAATAAAAGTTATCGCTATTTAATTTATTCACTTTTTACTGTTGATCCAGCATACTCATTTTAGTCCTGAACGCCCCACGTGGATCTTAGTTCATCTGTGCCCCACACTCGTTTTAGTCCCTGAACGCCCCACATTCCTTTTAGTCCATGAACGCCCCTCATTTGTTTTAGTTCCTCTGTGCCCCACGCTGACTGTTACACTTTTTAAGGCGTTCATTTTGAATTTTAAGGCAATATTCCAAAGTCAGTTTCACAATAAAATTTTATCTTTAAGGCGCTTGTTCGTTTGTTTTTTTCTCACTGATGTCAGTTAACTTCGATTAATTAATTAACACTGAACTCTAGGTTGCAGGTCGTTGCAGCTGCGAGGCTCTATAATGGTTACCATGACAACACAAGCATGGCGGTTAGTGGTCACATGTGGAGTAAAGTGTACAACTGACTGAACAACATATACACTGTGAGACTAAATCCTCTCATTCCACCTTAAAACTGCAGATAAGATTTAATTATGATATTTCTAATGCTATACGGCAATAATTAACAGATACATTAATAATCATTTCTTCCAGGTGACCAAAAACATGACATCCTTGCTTAATTTACCTTAAAATGGCCTTAATTATTCCGTTAATAGTTAATAATCAGGTAAATGTTCATTAATGCCATTTTTTAATTTTACACAGTATCCATAATCTATTTTAATTGAATCTATTAATTAACCCAGAATTTGCACCTTTTTTTTTTTTCGTAAAACATGAATTTAGCCATAAATGCCGATTAAATTAAAGTATTTCAATAATATTTTAATGGGATAATTGATATATAAATAAATGAATTGTAATACATAAAAAAAAATTCCAGTGGGTTTAAACCAGTGCCTGAAACCAGAGGAATGAAAACACCAAAAATAAATAAACAAATGACCCAGTTAAAATATCTCAGAGCCGAATCAGTGAAAACAGCACTGAAAATATCCTCGTTAAAATTTATAAAAAATGACTGATGAATTAGGGTATTTGCACACTTTTTGGTCCAATTCAGGCCCTGGTTTAAATTAAAGGATCTCAAACAGCTCGATTTGGGTGTTGATTGTTTTTAGAGTTAAATTAACAATTAATTAACAGGATTTTCTGAACTTTTCTAATTCTTAAGGCTTTGTTTCTAACTTTTAAGGCAACATTTTAAATTCAGTATCAGGTGTTTACTGTTGATCGCTGTAATGTTACTAATTAACTCCACAGAGAGGTTGTGTAACCATGACAATGCCGTCATGGTGGCTAGTGGTTATAAAGAGATTTTCATGCAGATGAAAAGGTTTGACTACATCACTGACATCCCTTCATTTTTATTTTCAATTTAATTAATTCACCTTTTAGTAATGAAGGTAATTTTAATGGGATGTTCAGGAGATAATTAATGGATTATTTGCATGTTTTAAGAACCTTGAAGAGGTACAAATTTAACCACATAAAAATTCTCAATTTATACCTTCAAATAATTATTTTTTTCAATTTGAAGGTGTTTTTACTCCTTGGAAACATTAAATCATGCAAATAATCCATTAAAACCTTTAATATATTATAATCAATTAATTTATTGATTAATAACGCAAAAACTTGATTTGAACCCCCGAAAAAAGTCCCTTAATTGATACATGATTCAGCTTCCTCCAAGTGATCTCCACGTACGCGGCCATGATTGTTGACGTAATACTTTGTATGAGGTCATCACAGTGATGTCATCAGAGAGAGAGTTACAGAGATCTTTCATACGACAGACAACACACACACACATCAAACCAAAGCCCATTAATAATAATAATAATAATAATCAATAACAGTGATAAAGCAGAAATCAGCGCCATCGTCCCGTGTGGCTTAATCACCATCTTCATCATCGTCATCGTTAGTTCTTCATGTCTCTGTGTGAGTCCGTTTGATCCCAGACGGGAAGTCAGTCTGATCGTCACTAATTAATGGATTTATATTAACGGTATGAAGATTACACCTGCAACACCTAATAAACACCTGATCACCTCCTAACGACCCCCAGATAAACTGCAGATAATTACCAGACCAAAGTCCTCTAATTAAGACACTAATCAGCCAGTTAATTAAGAAACTCACCTGTTAATTAACAATCTGACTTGTTAATGAACTAAATATTTTTTGCTGAAGAACAGACAAGTTTCCTAACTAACATGCCGAGCTGCTCATTAACGGCCCGACCTAATAAATCCCTGACCCCACCCCCCCCTCGGACCCGGTCCTCTTCGGTCTGTCTACCAGACCTCGCAGCGCTTCCCGGTGTTCATGGGCGTCCCTTCAGGACAGTTGAAGTGGCGGCTGAAGTCTGGCGAGTTGGCTAGTGTGCCAATGACTCTGTATCTGGGGGGGCTGTGGGGGTCAGTCACCAGGCCTTCATGCGCGCTCTCTGGTGTCCGAACTGAACACCACACCTGAAAACACAAAGCGGGAAAAGTCGAGATTGTTTAAAGTCCCCATGAAACAGGAAGCAGAGTGCTGTTTCCTTCCTCATATTTACGTTATGTTTCCTGTAACCGTCAGCGAGGGAGGGATTATGCAGCTGGTGCTATGAGCTCGAGTCAGCGTCTACCTTCCAGTGAACACAGCTGGACCCGGAACTGAACATGATCTCTGATACCTTATACAGTACCATGGTGATTTTCTTGCTGTGTTTGGCTCCTGGCAACCTGGGGCTGAGTCAGTTAGGTTAGCTGCACGTATGACCTAGTGAACAGCAGTTAGTGGTTGGCTACTTATCAATCTTTCCATCAGGAAACTCCGTAATTGACCTAGGTGCTGTAACGTTATTCCCTGACTGTCTCAGAGGCTGTGTCGATCCCGGTCCAGTTCGGCAGATACAGTTAGTAGCAGCTAATTAGCAACTAACAGTTTTTGTTTAAATGTTTAAATAGAGACTGAATCAGCCTTATTACACGCCACATTGAGTTGCTGAGTTTGAAGGTAGTGGGCACATAAATCACTGCGTCATCATCATAAAACATGAGGAGAAGTAGAAGTGGCCCCAGTATTGAACCTTGTGGGACACCGTTCTGTTGAGAGGGTAACTGAGGCGTTATTATTCGTCTCACCTGAGCAAATCCCACGAAGAAGAGTTGATCATTGGTCAGGTTGACGGCAGGGAGTCTCTTCTCCTCTCCACTCTTCTGGACCCATGATCGATAGGCCTGAAGAACATACAGTTATTGATAGGTGATTATGTAAGAAACATACAGGATGATGTGGTTTTCTAGCGCTGGCAGTAGGGTTGAGCTGATGAAGTGATGTTATGTCAGTAACAGTATATTTTAGTTAATTTTGATGTTACTTGTTCATACTAACATGGTACGCTGCCTTCAGTCCTCCATTGTCTGCTATGTTTTCTCCGAGCGTCTGTTTTCCATTGACGTGTTCTCCGTTGACAAGGTAGCGGCTGTACTGATCCACCATGCATTCTGTTCTCTGCCGAAAGGCCTCCACTGACGAGTTCTGCCACCACGGCCTCAAGTTTCCTTCTTTATCGTACTCGCGACCTGACGTTGGGAGGGAGGACAGCTTAGTTCACGATTGTGTTCAAATGTTACTTTGAAAATCTTAAAATAACACTTAGTAATCACTTATAACATCAAAGAATGAACAATTTAGCAACACGGTAAAGCACCGTATGTGCACGAAAGAGACATTTATCTTTTCTGAGTCACATTCAAATGCACAGTCAGAGTGCAGTGAATGCATCATCACCTCCAGCAGGAACTGAATATGTGACAGGAAATAAACAGGAACAGAGGTCCAGACTCACCTTGATCATCAAAGGCGTGTGTGAGCTCATGACCCATCACCACCCCGATCCCACCAAAGTTCAACGCCCTGAAGACACAAACGCAGGTTTTTACAAAGTTTCTCCAAAGACCTGAAGAGTCTAGCAACCAGAGACTGTCTCAAGTGCCACTAGCGTCCCCTAGAGGTTGCAGAGTTCATTACAGCCACAATATGAACAAACAACACACTGACTATTTGGCTACTCAGAGTCTGAACAGTAGTGGAGCTAAAAATGTAAAGATTGTCCTGAGGTTGGCGCTAGAGGAAAGTCTGTGCTCCAATAACAGTTGAGCTAGCCTCAGTCAGTGGACTTAAATATGCTATGTGCTAAGCTAATCTATGTTAAAAAGACAACCACATTTTGAAGATGGTTAAAAGATAAAAGAGACACATATATATAGTCACAACTTAAGTTAGCTCATGTTAGCAAACCATTAGCTAACTATATCTGATATTTCAACTAAAAAAACATCACAATATTGTGGCACATAAGTAGAGTTTAATAGAAATGTGTAAAGGTGGCATCAGAAATGAACAAATTATTTTATTTCAAAATCTTCAAATTTTTCCAAATGTATGTTGTTCATTGAAGTTAAGCATATCACTGAGTTAGCATTTTGTAGTTGTCTTTTCAACATAGATTAGCCTAGCACATAGCATATCGAAAGGAAAGGAGGAAGTTGACTCAACTGTTATTGGAGCACAGAACAAAAAGGGGCGGGACTTAGGAAGGGTCAATTACTTTTTTATAGGTGTAATAAGTCCCTGACAGACAGGTGGACACAGACAGGTAGATATAGAGGTAAACAGACTTGGGGTGATCGTGGGCGTAGAAAGGAGCTTGTAGGATCCCAGCAGGGAAGACGATGCCGTTCTTAGTGGGCATGTAGTAGGCATTAACTGTAGGAGGAGTCATACTCCACCTGGAGGAGGAGAGGAGGGTAGGAGACAAGGAGAGGAGTGGAGCAGAGGAGACAAGGAGAGGAGGAGAGGAGTTATTTTGTTTTCCTACCAGTGGATCAAAAAGCCCAGGGGTCGTTTTCACAAGTATCCTCAATGAGACGGAGGTACCAACCCAACCAGTTCCTCTTCCACCTCCTTCCAAAACACAGTGGCAACCAGATGTATAAGAACGAGAAGAACAAGCAGAAAACAAAGGTGAAATTAACTTTTAATGGGTGTATTAAAGGAAAACTGGATACTGCGTTCAAAGATGACTGCTCCATTCGTTCATATGGAAGCTGCTCACTGGGAGGACACTGAATGGCCCTCCATGGCCCAGTAGAGGTGAACCCATGATTGTGGTGAAATGATGATGAATTAATGGATGGCATGTAACCACAGTCAATGACTCTTCAGAGAGGAAAAAGATTTACTCTAACTCGCCCTGAAGATTTGTGAATACGACCCCTGATTAGACGTGTGTGTGTGTTATTATTACTGGTCTTTGTTGGGAGTCTTCCTCAGCTGGTCGGCCATCACTCGTGAGGAGAAGTTGTAGAAGTTCAACATGTTCTGGAAGAAGCTGTCGTCTGAGACGTCGTACTGAAACACAGAATGTGTGTGATGGTGTTTAACAGCAGGGGGCAGCAAAGCGCCACTCGCCCCAAATATAAACCTGTCTCCCTGCTCTACCTGTCTGCAGGTGAATGAGATGTTTGACAGCTGTCACTCACCCCATCGTAAACGTCGTCCAGCTCTTTGGAGTCTAAGATGAATTCTGGGAAACCGATCATATCGTAGATCGCATCTGCCTAACAAGGGATAAACAGAAACAGTTTGACCAATCAGCATCTTTGATCTACCAGTCTGTCCTCCTGTCTGTCCACCTGTCTGCATACCTTGTCTTTAGCAGCCTGTCTTGTATGGTCGTCCATCCAGTTGAGTCGGTCCAGAGCGTCTTTAAACGCTGTGCGGATCTCGTTAATCATCTCCTCGGCCTGAGAGAGACAAAAGGACAGTTGATGAACCAGACCAGACCTGTTTCAGGTCCAGGACCATCCCTCCCTGCTGTAGGATCCAGATTATGATCGTTCATAAGGTGTAAACAATGTTGTGACTCACGATCTCTTTGCTGTGTTTGTCGAAGGTCGCCTTAACAAAGAGCGCTCCCAAAGCGAAGCCCAGAGTGTCGTCGGTGTTCCCGATGCAAGTCTGCCAGCGAGGGGTGCAGGACTGCAACAAACCACAGCCAGTTACAACCAGATGGTTCCAGATTCAGATCAGAACCACTTAGATGCGACTAGGAAACAGCAGCAAGAACCAGTTTCCCCAGTACACCAGCACGAACTAAGCTACAGGGGTTTCAAACCCAGTAAGAACAAGTTAGAACCAACCAAACACATGAAAACCTATTACAGCCCAGTGGAAACACCTCAAACCAGTAACTGGCAGTTGGAACCAGTTAAAGTACCATCACCAGCACTGGGAACCTCTGACTGGGAGGGAATTACCTACCAGTACCTGTAGTCAGACTATCATTAAAAGTAGTTTTAACTGCTGTTAATATAACTTTATCAGTACTTGCAGTGGTATTTGTAGTATTATTTGCAGTATTTGTAGTATCAGTACCTTCTTGGTCCCGTAGAGAGACTCCAGCAGTTTGTCCTGAGCGTTCTCAAACCGTTGATCCAAACTGGCCACACTCTTCTGAACCAACGTCCACATCATGTAGTTGTTCAACAGACTGAAGAGACAGACAGGCAGACAGGCAGGGGGTCAGACTGGGAGACAGGTTAGAGACGGTACACCTGTTGAGAGACAGATGGCCAGCAACTGTTTCCGACCTGCGGTCCGTTTTGTTGATGAGGTCAGACACCTGCTGCAGGTACTCTCTGGCATACAGGACGACAGGTTCGGTGTCATTTAGGTCCAAAGGAGTCAGAGCGGAAGAGAGGTAGTCCAACCAGTCCACCGCTGGAGCAAGCAGCTGAAACACCAACAAAGAAGAGACATTATTTAGAGACAGATTTAAAGCATTAATATATCAACTACCAGTTATACCACCCATTTTGCTCAGTGCTCCAATAACAGTTGAGCAAGCCTCAGTCAACTTCCTCCTTTCTTGTACCTAGATATGCTATGTGCTAAGCTAATCTCTGTTGAAAAAACAACCACATTTTGAAGTTGGTTAAAATATCATATTTAGCTAGCTATTGTTAGCTAACTACCTAGCTAATCTACATCAACTGTTAGCTATTTAGTTATCTATCTAGCTAGTAAATGTTTAGCTAACATTATCTAACTTAAGATGTGACTATATATATTTATCTTTTATCTTTTAACCGTCTTCAAAATGTGGTTGTCTTTTCAACATAGATTAGCCTAGCACAATAAAGTCACAAAGTGGCATAAATTAAAAACAAGTTCTCTGTAAACTTCTGTATTCTTTTAATGACGATGGGAAAACTTCAGAATCAGAATGTTTGTTTGCATTTGTTCAACAAAGAGCACAGTCCTTCACTGTTCACTTAGCATTAGAGGGAGTACTGTCTTTAGCCCCAGGAAGTGTCTGTCTTCCAACAGCCTTCATTAATAAGCTAAGACTAACTGTATGTAGCCTGAGAGGCAAAAGCCGGGGCAAAGAAACACTGAAACACCAGCTGCTCATTAGGTTCACTGTAAAATCAAACTCTGGACCACATCTGTCTGTCCGTCTCCTCAGTCTGTCTGTCTCAGTAATCCTCAGTGTGGGAGCAGACTGCACCACCCGGGGGGAGATGCTGAGATGAAAAACTAATCCCTGCTGTCTGCTTCAGCTTCAGAAAGTCAAAACACCCAAACCTGGAGACTCTGCAGAGAGAATCTGACGTCCACATGTGGACTGAGGTGAATGAAAGAGGAAGTTTGTACATGTTTGTTTCTTTGTTCATCAACCAGCAAAAGTTCATTTAAACAGAAACCTGGAGAACTAATATGACCTGATTTATTTGAGTTTAGAGCTCCTTCATATAAAACAAAATTGGAAACATTTAAGTTTCTAAAAATCTATAACAGTACTTACAGTCATAAGGAAGCTTATTTTTAGTTTTGTCTCCAGCAGGGGGTGCTGGAGGCTCAGTCACTTCAAAATGAAGTGTCCATTAATCATTATTATTGAAGAAATGAGATTGTGTAACTGGTGAGGCCTGGTTGCTGCAGTACTTTTACTTTTTCTATTGATTTTATGTAACTTTATTAAGTACACTGACTGATTTCCATAAGATGAGATGAGATGTTTCTTTATTGATCCCCTGTAGGGGAAATTGAAATGGCTACAGTAGCACAGAGGAATGTAGTGCAAAGAGTAAAGAAATAGAATAAAATAGAATAACTGAACAAGGTTAAAAACAAAAAGTAAACTCCCTACACTGATGGTACTATATACAGAATGAATACAGTGCTATGTAGGTAGAAAAGTAAAAAAACAAGTAGGATTAAAAAGGCCAAAGGTATAAATAATGAGAAGGAGCTGCTGTGTTGCTGCCAGAAGAGCTTCTCATCCTCCTCTTTGTTGTTCTGTTCTGTGTTCAGTTGATGTAATAAAACATTTAAAGAAGAACATCTTTCAAACATTTAAGGAAGATCAAAGAACACTGAGGGAGAACCTTTTGGCTTCATGCAGGAACAATTTCATATTCTTGTTGTCATATTCTGTTTTAACTTTCTTTTAACTGAAACAAGCAATTTAGTTTGTTAATTTGATGAACGTCATCTGTTCTTGGGGAGGTGAACATTCAAGAGATTTTATTGAATGTTTTCTGGTACAGGATGTTTTCTATAATACAATGAGAAATACCACAATATACTGTAACAGTTCTGCTCTTTCCCAGTTGTTGTTCACGTATGAAGTCTTTTTCTTCCTATTATTTATTTTGATATGACATGAATGCAGATTAAGGCCTTATGATTTCAGGTTAAATAAATGGTTTTCCCTTGTGGAAAGAGACATACTGGGTGTCCACAGCTCTGGACCACAAATTCTCTTAATTTACTCATTTGTGGAAGTTAAGAAGGACTCTTTGCATATATATATATATATGTATATTTTGAATTTACTTATATTTTCTGCCTTTAGTTCAGTGCTGTAAATACAGGGCATAGGTCAGTGCTGTATTGATATCATTAATATTAACTTTATTTCATAAGCTTTAGTAAAATCCAATATTTTTATTGAAAAATATATATATTTTAGGGGGATTTCATTGCCTTTAATTAATAGACAGCTCAAGATTGACAGGAAAGGGGGAAGAGAGAGTGGATGACACGCAGCAAAGGTCCAAAGGTCGTACTCCAACCCATTTGCACGGCAGCAAGGATCTTCTCTGTGTCTAGATAAATTATATCCCCTGTCCCTGTTTGGTACTTTCATGGCACAGAAAAGACGTATAATCATTAATTAGAGGCTTTCAGTCTTCTCACTCTACACATTTGAACAACAACTTACATTTGATGTCAGCTAAAAGGTGGCATTTTAAGGTGTAAATGGGGTCTTAATGATGAAACCAGAGCTATGAGCCGCAGGGGCCGCTCTGCTCCACAGTCACCACAAACAAATGGTACATAATGATAAACAATAATAATGGTAAACAACGTCCATGTTTATGTAGATGAATTCAGGACAAAGAAAAAGGTCAAAATGAACCTGCAGTGACATTTCTCTCAAGTCTCCTTCATGTTCATATCAGCCATGTTTATATAATAACCTGTTATCTAACCTCTCTCTCTCTCTCTCTCTCTCTCTCTCTCTCTCTCTCTCTCACTCTCTCTCTGCCAAGAAGATGCAGGCACATAGCAACAGCTCTTGGCAACAGTTGCCATGGTGACCCCAGAAGCATCTGCAACCCTGAAGGACAGAGAGCTGCAGCAGAGAGAGAGAGAGAGAGAGAGAGAGAGAGAGAGAGAGAGAGAGAGAGACTGCACTCTGACAGAGCAATATCACTGCTCAGATTATCAGTGTAAAAACTATTTATTAAAAGAGGATGGCAGTAACACTGCAGACACATCAGCAGTGAGACGAAAGATGAAGGACATGGACCAACACTCGTTGCACGTCAATTAGACAAAATCTGATAAATGAATTGATCCATTTTATAGCTGATCTCTCTCCCAAAACGCAAATAAATGTCTTCATAGTGAGTTAAATAATTAAATACAAAATAAAGTGAGAGAAATTTTAAAAAGCAACATTACTTGTGTGAAATAAACCAGACTAATGGTGTAATTGAAATCACAACCTGTGCTAATGTATGTAATGTAATGTACAAACTCAATCAGTATGAACTGCGGATTTAATAAATAAACGACTACGTCTTCTCTGTATCACCTGACCGTATCAATCACAATCACAACAGCTACCGTTGAAAAAACCTGAATGTAACTCAGTACTACACCCAATGTAATATTTTCCAGGATTATTTTAAATCCATTATCTATCATTATTAAACCATGTATACACTCTAAACTAAACTAAAGTTGTGTTCTTACATTATCCCAAATGTTTATGTCATGTTATTCAGGTAACGCTGCGTTTCACCGGTCGCCTGTCGATGGCGTCATATCCCCTTTGTGCCTGCGGCAGCATTGTGGTTGTCTGCCAGAAGCTGTCATACATTGACTGTTGATCCAGTCTGAAGCCACATTGTTACCATCCACTGTTTAGATCTTGGTGCTTTTTAACTCTAGATTTGAACCGGGTGAAGGATTTTAGTCATCGGACGTCTGGATCTTAAGTTATCAGAGAAACAAGCTGAGCTAACGTTAGCAGCAGCTCGGCTCGCAGCCCCTCCGGGACGTCCTTTGTCTGTCCAACAGCGTGGGAGAAGCAGTGATTGTTAAGGTGGAACTGCTTTATTCAGTGTGTTTAAGGTGGAACTGCTTTATTCAGTGTGTTTAGTGGTTTTAATCAGCGGGTCTGTTTGTTCTGGAGAGGAGGAGACCTCTGTGGATAATTGGGCTCCTGGTAGAAACCTCCTGAACCATGAACACTGAAGGAATCCTAACCAGGAGAAGCTGACTGCAATGACACCAATGGTGGTGAAGACAACAACTCCCATGATCCCACGCTGCTTCACCACCTCATAAAACTTTGACTTTTAATGTGAGAGACTTCCAGTGGCATAAATTACATATTGTACAGCAAATTAAGGTAATAAAACCTGACTCAAGCAAAAGTACAGAAGTATTATCAGCTACTGTCGGTATATTTTTACCGAGAAGTAGAAGTTACAGTGGACCCCTCAGGTGCCATTAACCCCACCTGTAATTCAGCGATGGTGACCTTGTGGTAGATCTTCTCCTCATCTCTTCGTTGGTCCTGTGGGACTGTGATGTTGGCGAGTGCCGTCTCAAACTCCAGAATCTGCTGCATCTGAAGCTGCGTGGAGCTCCTCTCGCCCCCCAGCAGCATCCCCAGCTCCACCATGTAGTCCAGGTACGCCACCAGCACCTGGAATCCAGATAAAAGTCTGATTTCTTTCCTCAAACATCTCCATGTCATAAAGTTGACACTCTGAGGCTTCATATCATCTAAATTGACACATTGAGCTTGAAGAATCCTCACCTTCTCATTGGCTGTCTTGTTGAGGTAATAGTCCCTGGACGGCAGGAAGAGCCCTGATTGGTCCACCTGGGCAGAGGATGGTAAATGGTAAATGGACCTGTACTTGTATAGCGCCTTTCTTGTCTTCCGACCACTGAAAGCACTTTTACACTTCGTGCCACATTTCACACACATTCACTCAGTGATGGCAAAGTCCATCGAACAGAAACTAACATTCATACACATTGACACACCGATGCACGGCATCGGGAGCAATTTGGGGTTCAGTATCTTGCTCAAGGATGCTTCAACATGTGGCATCAGGAGCCGGGGATCGAACCCACAACCTTCCGATTAAGGAACGACCCGCTCTACCTCTGAACCACAGCCGCACAGGAGAGAGAACAGGTGATGACCACAGATTGTTGGTGTTGTTTCCCTATTGATACTCTAAAGCAGTGATTCCCAACCAGGAGTACTGTTCTGCTGTTGCCAGGGGGCTCAATTTGACTGCACTGAATTAAGGATTTGATTTGCAATTAAGAGCGCATGAAAACTAGTTAGCAGAAGAGATAAAATAATAAAGCTTTGAATGGGGATCCTTCATAAACCATAATGAAATTGATAAAAAATATGTAAAAAACGAAACAGACAAGAGAGGACTCTATTTAAAGTTTTAGTTAGCTTAGCACAGAGACAGTCGGTAGAAATGTCTTTCAGAGAAACCAAAGACACTACTTTTGACTTTTATACTTTAAGTACAATTCAGAGCCTATACTTTTTCACTTTTACTTGAATAAAGAATCAGTACTTCTACTTATACCACAATTATCTGTACTTGAGTAAAGAATGTGTGTACTTTTGCCACCTCTGGCTAAAAGCATTAGATAAACTGTTGAAATAGATCACTAAAGTAAACATGACCAAACCGAACAAAACATTATATAATCATTTCTACTGTTATACTGTGTGTCCTTGGTACAGTGGTCAGTGGCACTGGGCAGCTTCCAGGTGTGAATATGATCATGGAGTTCCTGAAAAAGAACATCAACTATGGCCTGGTTGTGTCTGGTTCCGGTTTACCTGGATGACGTTGCTGTTTGAGTTTTTGGGATCAGCACTGACTCCGACACTGAAGAAAGGTTGAGCTCTATAAGGACCAGAAACCACCTTCAGAACCTCCATAAAGTTATCCTTTTCCCAAGGACCTGTCATGTTCCAGCCCCCGATCTACAAGCAGAAACAGGGTGCAGGTGTTGACAATTCACATATTGTTTGAGCCTGATCAATACAGATCTATATAATATAATCATGATTTAGATCTCTTTAAATGACATGGAGTAATACAATTCTGTACATGTTTGCTGATGATAGTCTCTTTTTTGTTTTAGACTAAATATTTTTCATCCACAACATTGTACTATAATATTATTGGTTCCCAAATTCTCAAGTTTAAGTCTATTAACAGGTCCTCCATATTTCCTCAGAATACCCACACAGGACAATATTTATTTCACCAGCTTCATATTTCAGAAATGATAAATCTCTTGGGTCATATGAAGTCTTTTGTCTTGGGTTTTCTTACTAGAACTTTGTCTTCGTCTAAAATCGTATGACATAGAACAGATTCCAAGAAAATATAATATAAGATTGTGAAGTTTGTCCTGGTGGGGGCGCTGCAGGTACAATAATGTTTACACCTGCATTTATTTGATAAAAGACTATATACAAAAATATGGCATTTGTTATTATTTTATTACTCCTTTAACTTTAATTTTACGGTGACTTTAGAGGTCTTTAACTTTGAACTTCTGAGTTATATTTTCTGTAGTATGTGATTGCCACATCTGTTACATACATGGTTGGATTAACTGATTATTATATAATGCAAGCTGCCTTACTTGTTTTATACGCTTTATTTGAAGTGGCTGCTATTACATAGTTATTTCTCTTTGGTAATAATAAATTACTACAATTAACTGGAATATTTGCATTTCCTTAAGAAAATACATGTGTCACTGCTACTGCTGTCCAGCTTCTGAATGGAGGGAGATGTTTCTGATTCACACCTGAATTATTGGACTAAATCTAATATTAATAATGTTCACTCCTAAATAAACCACAGTGCAGTCATTAAAGTGTGCAGTGGTTCATTTTGATGTTGTATATGACAGTATAGACCTCTGACCTGTATCTACAGCAGAGACTTATGCTATGTATCCACAGCACCGGCCTCTGTCCTGCATCTGTTCTGTCCTCTGTAACTTAGGTGTTATTGCCAAACAGACTCAATAAAATCTTTATTAACTGTCTCTGAGAGACTGTCCTGTCTCTGCCCTGTCCTCTGTATCTTGTATCTGTATCTGTATTTTTGTGTGTTACTGTTGGTAGAATTGCATAAAATGGTATACACACAGGCAATGTGGCTTAATGTACAACATTGCTTTCACATATCTGGCTGGCTTGCATGTTACTTTGTCGGCTGGCGTTGCAGGGGGCTAATAATGTTATTCTGCGGTTGCAGCTAACCATAGCTTGCTTGCTTGTTATCACTAACAAAATACTCTGTGAGTGTTAGTTGGCTAATGTTAGCTTCCCCAGCTACATGATACTAACTTATGTATTATAATAATAATAATAATAATAATAATAATAATAATAATAATAATAATAACAAACAATGTTGAGCCAACAATAAATGATAGAAATAGAAAGCTAACACTCTACTAGCCAAGAGCGATGAAAGACAGGGGTATCCAACTTCAGTTTATTATTATTTTGTTGTACCCAGCTGTCAGTGAGCCATAAGAGACTCAGATAAAACAGGGTTCTTTGTTGGAGGGAGCTGCACCACGTGATGCTGTTGTATCTGAGTGAAGTGGTTACCATGGCGACGAAGTGCATGGCATGGTTACCTTGGCGATGAGGTCTATGAGAGGCTGAGCTCCAAGCTCCTCGATCCTCTGTGTGTTGAGACAGGACAGGTAGTAGGACTGAGTCTTCCTCTCAGCTTCGCTGCTGCCGTTAAAAGTCCCGTTCTCTAAAAACATTATTACAGAGGGAGGGTTACACCAGTATATAATATTCTAACACGTGATTCTCTGTTCAAATCTGCTTTGTCAAACTTAAAAAGTAAAAAACATAAAATAAATGATAATTAAATTAAAATATTTATTTACCTGATAAATACTAAACTAATCAATACATTTTTATAAATGTATTTAAATTAAGTTTCACTTCAATTAAAAGGTTTAATTTACCTTTACCTTTATTTAACTTTACCTGTCTGTCACTCCATCAGTCTCTCTGTGTGTCTCTCTACCTGTCTGTCTCTCTACCTGTCTTACCCAGCAGGTGTTTGAGCAGGGCCTGGTTCTGCTCCCAGATGCTGTTGAACGTGGACCAGCGCGACCGTCCATCAGGCAGTGGGTTTTTCCTCATCCAGCCTCCACAGGCGAACTGGTAGAAGTCCTGGCACGGGTCAGCGCTGCGGTCCATCGCCTCCACCATCTGACTCGCCACCGTGACGCACGCCTCGGACAGGCACAGGCCACGCCCACTGTCTGCACGGCATCAATGGATAGAAAAAACAGAGAAAAGGTCAGAAAACTGAAGAGGATGAAGGAATGATAGGGAGGCGAGACAGAAACAGACAAGGACATACGGAATGAAAGGAGCAGGGAGAGAAGGATGGGAGGAGGCAGAGGAGGAAAGGACGAGGTATAGGGAAGGAAAGGAAATAGGAGGCAGCGAAGGAGAGAAGGGGGAAGAAAGAAAAGGAGGAGGGAGAGAGGTATACTGTAGGATATTAAAATGAAATAAAAAGAAAGGAAATCAAAGGAAAGAAAAGGAAATGTAGAGAAAGGAAAAGAATGGAAAGAAGAGGAAAAGAATGGAAAGGTAAGGAAAGGAAAGGAGAGGAAGGAAAGACAGTAAAGAAGGAAAGGTGGAGGCACAGAGGGATAGGCGGTGGTAGGAAAGGAGGTGAAGGAATAGAAAGGAAAGCAAAAGAAAGGGAAGGCAGGGCAAGAAATGGGGAGGCGGTGATGGGAAGAGGAGGTGAGGAAGGATGGGTGAGGGCAGGAAAGGAAACAAACAATAAAGCCAGAGGAAGCAGGGAAGGACGACACAGAGAAGGAAAGGAGGAGGTAGTGAAGGAAAGGTGCGGCAGGAAAGGAGAGGAGGAGGCAGAGACCGGTGGACGGGGGTAGGGAATAACAGCAGAGGAGGAGGCAGGTGCTTGTGTGTTGGTACCTGAGCTGAATCCCAGTCCCAGGACCAGCAGACAGGCCAGCAGAGCCAGGAGGGCAGCTAGCAGCAGGACTGACAGCAGAACCTCCAGCTGAGTCCTCCTGCCCAGAATGTCCACACCTCCCTTCCTGAACCCCACCTGAGACACAGACAGACAGACAGACAGACTGAACACAGCTGGACCTGTCTCCAGCTCAAACCCAGCTCAAACCCTGGGAACATCAGCCCGAGTCCTAAAACCACTTCCATTCTGGCCTCGTAGAGTCAAACAATGATGAAGTGTTTTCATCACATCTGTCCAACAATGACACAGAAGACATTTTTGGGGTATTTTTAATGATATTGTAACTGTTAACCACTAGTTCCTTCATGTTAGCTCGGGGAGTTAGTCGAAGTTAGAGTCTAATTCAGGTAAAACAGGTTTGCTTTCTTTCTTCTGATGCCGTCAGAGTGTCTACAGCCTCACTGAGTACTGTACAGTGACCTACTTTATAGCGACATTAGCCAGTGTTTAGCTCTGTAGCTACCTAATGTACAGGACTCATTAGTTAGCTCAACTTTATAACTGTATTCAGTGATTTTGGTGAAACTGGATCAGATTTTGTGGAGAAAATATGTTCTGGTTTCCCGCTGACGTCCTGCAGAAAACATCCCTGAATGCTGTTTACCGTTTACCTCGCACTCTGGGTAATACTACCCAGAATCCCCCTGTGCAGAGCTGATTGCAGTCTGACATATTTCAGTATCTACCTCCTCCTCCAGAGAGCTGACATTGTTAGAACCAGAGTCTCTGACTGGCAGCGCTCCAGACCCCCCGCCGCTCCTCTCTTTGTGGCCGGCGGACCCACACCGCGGTGGCCCCATTTTGTGTTTTTATTCTCGGCCCCCCCAAGGTCTGGCTCCAGGAGTGAGCTCTGTGACTCTGTCCTGGGATTTAAATCTCTGCAGGAATCCAGGACTTCACCTGGGACCAGTTAGGAGATTTAAAGGGATTTCCTGAGGAGTCATATTAGTATTTATTCTGTCCTCTCTGAGCGTCTCTTTCTTTCCTTTTGTTATTTCTTCTTTTGTCTGTGTGTTGTGTTGCGTTCACTGACCTCCACTCTGTCAGGAAACGAGACCGCCTCAGCCGGAGCGTCCGACACTTCCTCCTCATCCAGTGTAGCTCGCTTGTAGCTGGACATCTGCAGAGAGAGAGAGAGAGAGAGAGAGAGAGAGAGAGAGAGAGAGAGAGAGAGAGAGAGAGAGAGAGAGAGAGAGTCAATAATGTCCACACTAATGCGGATAAATGACAAAACTGTCGGGTTAAATCTAATCTGCAGGGCGGAAACACAACTTTTCAAAATGATCCTCAACCTTCACAAACCCGGTCAGTGTCAGACAGACAGGAAATATAATGAACTTATTATATATAATGTAATGTGTTACATAAGGTTTGGTCACACTTTTTCCCTTTGAGACCTTTTCTCTCTTCTTATATAAGACTGTGTTGGAATAGTTTTTTTTACTCTGCTTGTGTTATTTATTTACAGTTTATTGTTAAATAGAAGCTCTTTAGTTTTTTCCTTTTCTCTAATATTAAAAATTAACTCTTGTTCTTTTTTCATTATTCCAGTGTTATTTCATTTATTTTACTCCTTTTCTGTCTGTTGACTTATTTAATTGAAGAAAGTGAAGTCCAAAGAGGATGAATTATACATACTGATTCTGTTTATTGGTCCGATTCTTTGGTGGAACTGATTCCTGAGTGGAATTAAGTCATCATCTGAACCCTGCAGAGAGCTGCTTTCTGGATGGTTGTGATGATAGTGACGGTGTTAACCTGTGTGCTCGCCGTAGTTTTATTGATCGCTCTATTAATTATTCATTGACTGCTGTTTGTAAAGTAAATACCCCTCTGGGACATTGGAGCTTTACTCTGCTACAGACCATCGGTATCAGCTTTCAGTACTTTCCTCACTTCTACAGACACATTCATCAAATACTGCGGTTTCATACTCAGACAGACAATATTCTCTCCATAAAATATGATCCAGTTTCACCCAAATCTCTGATAAAGTTGTGTTTGTACAGTAATCAGTGAGCTCCGCTAGCTAGCCATGCTGTTAGCTAGCTAGCTAACCAATGCACAGTGGGGAGAACAAGTATTTGATACACTGCTGATTTTGCAGGTTTTCCCGCATACAAAGCCTGTAGAGGTCAGTCATTTTTATCATAGGTACTCTTCAACTGTGAGAGACGGAATCTAAAACAAAAATCCAGAAAATCACATTGTATTTTTTTTTAAGTAATTAATTTGCATTTTATTGCATGACATAAGTTTTTGATACATCAGAAAAACAGAACTTAATATTTGGTACAGAAACCTTTGTTCGCAATTACAGAGATCAGACGTTTCCTGTAGTTCTTGACCAGGTTTGCACACAGTGCAGTAGGGATTGTGGCCCACTCCTCCATACAGATCTTCTCCAGATCCTTCAGGTTTCGGGGCTGTCGCTGGGCAATATGGACTTTCAGCTCCCTCCAAAGATTTTCTATTGGGTTCAGGTCTGGAAACTGGCTAGGCCACTCCAGGACCTTGAGATGCTTCTTACAGAGCCACTGCTTAGTTGCCCTGGCTGTGTGTTTTGGGTCGTTGTCATGCTGGAAGACCCAGCCACGACCCATCTTCAATGCTCTTATTGAGGGAAGGAGGTTGTTGGCCAAGATCTTGCGATACATGGCCCCCTCCATCCTCCCCTCAATACGGTGCAGTCGTCCTGTCCCCTTTGCAGAAAAGCATCCCCAAACAATGAGGTTTCCACCTCCAAGCTTCACGGTTGGGATGGTGTTCTTGGGGTTGTACTCATCCTTCTCCTCCCTCCAAACACGGTGAGTGGAGTTTAGACCAAAAAGCTCTATTTTTGGCTCTTCAGACCACATGACCTTCTCCCATTCCTCCTCTGGATCATCCAGATGGTCATTGGCAAACTTCAGACGGGGCTGGACATGTGCTGGCTTGAGCAGGGGGACCTTGCGTGCGCTGCAGGATTTTAATCCATGACGCCGTAGTGTGTTACTAATGGTTTTCTTTGAGACTGTGGCCCCAGCTCTCTTCAGGTCATTGACCAGGTCCTGCCGTGTAGTTCTGGGCTGATCCCTCACCTTCCTCATGATCATTGATGCCCCACGAGGTGAGATCTTGCACGGAGCCCCAGGCCGAGGGAGATTGACCATCATCTTGAACTTCTTCCATTTTCTAATAATTGCGCCAACAGTTGTTGCCTTCTCACCAAGCTGCTTGCCTATTGTCCTGTAGCCCGTCCCAGCCTTGTGCAGGTCTACAATTTTGTCCCTGATGTCCTTACACAGCTCTCTGGTCTCGGCCATTGTGGAGAGGTTGGAGTCTGTTTGATTGAGTGTGTGGACAGGTGTCTTTTATACAGGTAACAAGTTCAAACAGGTGCCGTTAACACAGGTAATGAGTGGAGAACAGGAAGGCTTCTTATAGAAAAACTAAAAGGTCTGTGAGAGCCGGAATTCTTACTGGTTGGTAGGTGATCAAATACTTATGTCATGCAATAAAATGCAAATTAAATATTTAAAAATCTTACAATGTGATTTTCTGGATTTTTGTTTTGGATTCCGTCTCTCGCAGTTAAAGTGTACCTATGATAAAAATTACAGACCTCTGCAGGCTTTGTAAGTGGGAAAACCTGCAAAATCAACAGTGTATCAAATACTTGTTCTCCCCACTGTATCTTCGCTCTGTGTCGCTGACAGTTGAAGAGTGATTGACGGGTGAATGTCAGGATATTATTGGTTGAAATCAGTTAGTTCATGCTGATGAAAGCACGTGTCACATTCAGTTTAACAGGAAGACACAATAACTGAATTTTAATATAAAAACACAAAGAAACTGAGTTTTTGTAACATTTTAGGATAAATTGTTAAATATGGGAACAATATAACAGGACGTGATCTTAAAGGGTTAAAATGTTAAATGTTAATGTTACAGATGGACACAGAGTCCACTCTCTGAGGCTCAGCATGAGGAGATATTTAACTGTGATCAAATAAATCTCCACTTCCTCTGTTTACACTCGGCTCCTCTCTCTCTCTCTCTCTCTCTCTCTCTGTAGTTCTGTCCTTATGTCTCTCGCCCCCCTCCCTCCCTCACTCATTGTGTGGCAGAAATATAAACAGAGCTGCGCTCCGCCCTGCAGACACACACTCACACTGATCCTGGATCAGTCACAAACACATTTTTTATAAACTCAAACAGCTGCATGTCGTTTCACCACGGCAACGCCTCATATACTGCATTTGGTTGCCGTGGAAACCACTGCGGCGCTTAGCAGCGCATGCACCAGTGCTGCTGCTGCCACAAGTGTTAGCACAGTTAGCATCACAAAAGAGCTGGTTCTGGAAACCTCTGGCCCACAGATGGATCCGAGTGGAGATCTCTTCTCTTCTCTTTCTGATTCTGTTCATCTGCAACATGTGGCCAAAAGTATGTGGACACTGTGTCTGTCCTCAGTGTCCTGTAGGTCCAGTAGAGGGAACTTTTATATTTCACTGTTAAATCTTCACCAACGTTGACCCCCGTCAGGCTCTGAAACTTTCAAAAATTCCAAGAAAATGTCCTGGAAATACTCTAAACCAATTGAAGACCAGTATTTTAGTTGGAGTTAAAGGGAAACTCTGCAGGATTTGTCCGATGGCACCTCCTTCCTGGCTCTAACAAGCCACAGAGAATGAATGAGGTTGAAGAAGCTTTAAAGAGTTGCAGCAGCTCCTCAGTCATCAGAGGATCAGTGACAGTTCCTACTAACATCAGTTGCACCACCATTAACTCAAAGTCATAACTAAGGTTAGTGAGAGTTCATCAGCTTTCTGGCTAGGAGCCACTCAGCATGGTAGCACATCATAGTGAGCTAGATCAATACTGAAATATATCAATTCATTCTCTACTGTGTCACAAAATGATGCTGTGTGGAAGAAAACCTGCAGTTTGACCATCAGTGAGTTTCATTTTGTTATATTTTATGATTTACAACCGCTTTTAATTTAGTAATAATAAATCACAACTTAGTTTGAATTATAAACAGGCTAAGTTTGTGACAATTTACCATTTTTATGTTCATATTGCACTTATGGCCGTTAGTTGTGCAGCTCTGCTACATTTGAATAAACTTGCAGAAAATATATTTGCACTTCAAAAGATCAAAATAATTCAAGAGACAGTAATAATGACGTCAGCCAGAGTATGAATATTAATGAAACAATGCTGGAAGAAGAGAACTGTTGTCTCATTGAGGATCATAACGGAGGTGTCACTATAGATCCATACATTACTGCATGAGGCTGAGACTGATTGATTGTTGGGATTAATGACTGAATATGTTTGTTTGTTTGTTTGTTTGTGTGCTTTTACACGCAGCAGCTCCACAAACCCCAGACCTGATCCCCTCACTGCAGGTCCCGGTCTGGAGGGAGGACGCCCTGGTCTCCCCGTCCTGCTGTCTGATGGTCCTGCAGGAAACTAAAGGTTCCCAACTGTTTCCTTCCCCGAGACCCTCGCTGAAACCTGTCTGCCTGCCTGTCTCCCTCTCTCTGTTGGTGTCTCTTTAATTGTCTGTTCTCTTTAATTGATGACGCACACAGAGGGGGAGAGAGGGGGGAGTGGGCGAGCGGGGTTGCTAGGAGACGAGAGTGTGTGTTATATCTCTCTGTAGAGGGTGATGTCACTGTGTGTGTGTGTGTGTGTGTGTGTGTGTGTGTGTGTGTGTGTGTAATTAGATAATGTGTGTGAATCATCTCCATTCAGCTCTAATGGAGTTCACTGCAGCTTATATAACATCTGTCTGTCTGTCTGTCTGTCTGTGTTCTGGCTGTGAAATCTGCTCTTTTTGCCCCCCCCCAAGCCTCTGTACTCTAAACAGCACTGCCCTCAGACACAAACACTGCCGCAGAAACAGTCACACATTCAGTGAATCTCGTCTGTTTCTACAGAACGAGATGAGAGGGCAGATAGCAGTTAGCTTAGCACAAAGACTGGAAGTGGGGGGAAACTGCTAGCCTGTAGCGTCATCAGCCACTGAACCACATCTCTGTTTCTATAACTGTTGGATACACACACTCCAAACTTTGTGTAAACACCTGAAAAATGTGTGTGAACGACTATAAAAAAGTACGTAGACATCTGAACATCCAACAACAACAACAACAACAACAAAAGATTGAACAAAGTATCTGAACAACATAAAGACGTATTAAGATAAACCGAACATCTGAATAACCACAACAAGGCGTGTAACACGCTGCAGTGTCACTCCGCGGTCAGTTTAACAAAAAATGTAGTTGCACTTTTGTATGAAGAGCAGGAAGTGAAAGAGTTTCAGAATAAAAGACCCGTAAACAACGACGGCGTCACATTAAATCCTCGTCGTCACTGAGCGCATGCAGAGGAACATATCTGGCACCAAGAGACGAACTGAAGAGAGAAAAAAGAGGCGGGACAAACGCAGGTCGTCGCCATGACAACCGCTCCATCGTCGCCTCCCATCCCCACGGCAACGACACACCATCAGCTCCTCTGTGACCTCTGACCCCCACTCTCACATTAAACAGGACAAAGACAAGACACCTTCCCCCATCACCCTCCCCCCACCTACAGCCTCCTGACCCTCCACATGAGTTACCCCCCCCGCCCCAGAGCTCCTCCCGCCACCACCTCCTCCTCACCCATAGCTCCTCCCACCTCCTCCTCCTCCCCCAGAGCTCCTCCCATCTCCTCACCCATTAAACCAGACAAACCTGAGTACTGGAACCAGTCTGAGGTTGAACTGAAGCATCCAGAGGAGGGTGAGGATGATGATCATGATGATGCTGAAGGCAGAGCTTTGGTTTGTTTAGTTGCTCAGATGGAAACTGATGAAGACAAAGGTGATGAAGATGATGAAGGTCAGATATATGTACGCAGCAGGAGCAGCGGCAGCAGAGCTTTGCTTTGTTTTGTTGCTCAGATGGAAACTGGGCGTCTTAAGACAGGAAGTCACAGAGCTGCAGACAGGAAACAGTAAACCAACCCAACCCAACACACACACACACACACACACACACACACACACACACACACACTCAACACACACACACACACACACACACACACACACACACACACACACTCTCTCTGCCAGCTCACTGTGGGAATGTTCACTCGAAGATAAAGAAAGCATCACTTCATGGATCCACTGCGGTTTAAATCCCATCAACAGTCAATAAAATCTTATTAAAAGTCTAAAAAATAATCTCATTTTAACGATTCTTATTTCTTCCTCTCGTCGTTAGAGGAGACTCAAATAATGTAGTTATTGATCTTTTATAGGCACTCTGCACCAGTTGTCATTGTATTTTTATTTGATTTATATATGTTTGTGGTTGTTGTGTGAGTGTTATCTGTCAGCTTTACTTACATTAACGAGGTGATTCATTATTCATATAGACTCAATTGGCTTCTGTCAGAGTGTAAATAAACCAACTCATTGTTTTAATCACACTCTTGACCTTGTTCTATAATATGGCATTGATATTGAACATTTAATAGTCTTCCTACATAATCCTTTCCTATCTGACCATTATTTAATAACTTTTGAATTCATACTATTAGATTATAAGCCATTAGGCAAAACTTCCTACAGCAGATGTCTATCTGACAGTGCTGTAGCTAAATTTAAGGAGGAGATTCCTTCAGTGTTTAATTCAATGCCATGTCTGAATTTAACAGAGTCCTATAACGACTTTAGTCCCTCTGAAATTGATAATCTTGTCGATAGTGCTACAGGCTCACTACGATCAACATTAGACTCTATCGCTCCTATAAAAAGGAAATTATTAAAACATAGGAGACTAGCACCGTGGTATAACCACCAAACCCGCCAGTTAAAGCAAATAGCTAGGAAATCTGAAAGGAAATTACGCTCTTCCAAATGATCAGAATATCGCTCAATTTGGCAAGATAATCTTAAAACTTATAGAAAGGCCCTCCGTAATGCCAGAGGAGCCTATTACTCAGCACTAATAGAAGAAAATAAGAATAACCCTAGGTTCCTCTTCAGCACTGTAGCCAGGCTGACAGAGAGTCACAGCTCTATTGAGCCACATAGCCCCATAAACTTAAGTAGCAATGACTTCATGAGCTTCTTCTATAATAAAATTATTACTATTAGAGAGAAAATTAATCACCAACTGCCATCAACAGTTATCAGTGGCTCTCCAAGTTCAGGGACTTCTGTCAATGTAAACTTAGATATATATTTAGACTGTTTTTCTGCTATCGATCTTCATCAGTTGACTTCAATCATTTTTTCATCGAAGCCATCAACCTGTCTATTAGACCCGATCCCAACTAGGCTGCTTAAAGAAGTTGTTCCCTTAATTGGCACTTCTTTACTGGATATGATTAATCTTTCTTTATTATCAGGATATGTACCACAGTCCTTTAAAGTAGCTGTAATTAAACTCCTTCTTAAAAAGCCCACTCTTGACCCAGGGGTTTTAGCCAATTATAGACCGATTTCTAACCTCCCCTTTCTCTCTAAGATTCTGGAGAAAGTAGTCGCCAAAGAGTTGTGTGAATTTCTACATAACAATAGTTTATTTGAGGATTTTCAGTCAGGATTTAGAATTCATCATAGCACAGAGACAGCTCTGGTTAAAGTTAATAATGACCTTCTGACTGCTTCTGACAATGGACTTGTCTCTGTACTGTATTATTAGATCTTAGTGCTGCATTTGACACCATTGACCATAATATTCTTTTACAGAGACTTGAGCATCAAATTGGCATTAAAGGAACCGCACTAAGCTGGTTTAAGTCATATTTATCAGATCGCTCGCAGTTTGTACATGTTAACGATGAATCTTCAATAAATACTACAGTTAGTCATGGAGTTCCACAAGGTTCTGTACTTGGACCAATACTATTTACTTTATATATGCTCCCTTTAGGCAACATTATTAGGAATCACTCCATTACCTTCACTGTTATGCAGTTATCTAAATGACAAACATGTCTTAAGGACATAAAATCCTGGATGAGCTGCAATTTTCTGATGTTAAACTCAGAAAAAAACGAAATTCTTGTTCTTGGCCCCAAAAACCTTAGAGACTCACTGTCTAAAGATATAGTTACTCTAGATGGCATTACCTTGGCCTCTAGCACCACTGTCAGGAATCTTGGCGTTATCTTTGATCAGGATTTGTCATTTAATTCCCACATAAAGCAGACCTCTAGGACTGCCTTCTTTCATTTACGTAATATTACAAAAATTAGACACATCCTATCACAGACAGATGCAGAAAAACTAATCCATGCATTTGTTACTTCAAGGCTGGATTACTGCAACTCTTTATTATCAGGTTGCCCCAATAAGTCCATTAAAACGCTCCAATTAATTCAGAACGCTGCAGCACGAGTACTGACAGGAACTAGAAAAAGAGATTACATCTCTCCTGTACTAGCTTCTCTGCACTGGCTCCCTGTAAAATGTAGAATAGAATTTAAAATCCTCCTCCTCACCTATAAAGCTCTTCATGGTCAGGCCCCTTCATATCTTAAAGAGCTCATAGTACCCTATTACCCCTCTAGAACACTACGTTCTCTGAATGCTGGGCTACTTGTGGTTCCTATAGTCTCTAAAAGTAGAACAGGAGCCAGAGCCTTCAGTTACCAAGCTCCTCTCCTGTGGAACCAGCTTCCAGTTGTGGTTCGGGAGGCAGACACCCTCACCACATTCAAGAGTAGGCTTAAGACATTCCTCTTTGATAAAGCTTATAGTTAGGGCTGGATCAGGTGAGTCCTGAACCATCCCTTAGTTATGCTGCTATAGGCCTAGACTATCGGGGGATTTCCCATGGTGCACTGAGCTCCTCCCTTCCTCTCTCTTTCTGCACTCATTCTTGTTCCATTAATGCATGTTACTAACTTCACTTCTTCCGTCGGTGTTCTTCTGTGCTTTCTCGTCTCGCAGGTTCTTATCGATCCTGGTGGAGCCTCCTGCCATGGTCCTGCTAGATTGCCATTGCCAATACTGTTGTTGCTGTGCACCTGTCTGTCTGTCTGTCTCTCGCTCTCTCTCTCTCTCTCTCTCTGTCTCTCTCTCTCTCTCTCTCACCCCAACTGGTCGAGACAGACGACCACCCACCTAGAGCCGGAGGATCTGTCCTAGGTTTCTGCCTTTTAACAGGCAGTTTTTCCTTGCCCTTGTCGCCAAGTGCTTGCTCATGGTGGTACTGTTGGGTCTCTGTAATTAATGTTAAAGAGTTCGGTCTAGACCTGCTCTATTTGAAAAGTGTCCTGAGATAACTTCTGTTATGAATTGGCGCTATACAAATAAAATTTAATTTAATTGAATTAATTAATAATTAGAATATAGTAATGTAACACTGAAACAATTTCAACATTATAAACAACAACAAGGGTCAGTGTGGGGAACCGAAAACAGGAATACAATTATATATATATATATATATATATATAGTGTTAATATGATAATAATAATAAATAACTGTATCATGGGAGAATAAATAGATAAATCAATAAGTAAAGTTGAACAATCCACAAATATAATGATAGTAATCAATTAATATTATAATAATTATTACAATACATTTTATTGTAACTCTGTATAATGAGTATAAAGTTACACAGGTAACAGATCAATCAAACCTATCAATAAGTATATAATAATAATAATAACTTAGAGCAGGAATCTAAAAACTATTAATCTAATCATTCTCCATGTTATTGATTATTGATTACATTTGGCGTCTGCTCAGCGTCATTCTCGACCTTTAGCTCTTCATCAGATTCAGTTTGTCTGCTCCGCCTCTCAGTGAGGACGACACCAGAGAAGAAGAGCAACCGGTTGAGTCACATTGGCGAGGTCCTCTAACAGCACCAGAACAGCTGTAGTTACGCAACACTGCAGTGATTTATTGATCCTGAACCACTAACGCTTCACACTGTTACAGTCAGAGTATCATCAGTGGAAGGATTAAACTGACTCGTACATTCATGTAAAAGCAGGATTTCACTGATTTTCTGATTCTCTCCTTCACATGAAGCAAACCCAACTCACAAATGAACTGTTAAGTACTTTAACTTGTTTTAAGTGAACTGAAACGTGTCCATTGACTCATTTTCTTTAAATTGACTTTATATCAATAATAAAGTATTGAAGTTAATAAAGTGTTGAAGTTAAACTGTTGAAGTTAAACTGTTGAAGTTAATAAAGTTTTGAAGGCGATCGTTTGAACCGATGCATGAATGTAAGCGTGTACATATAGTTGTGACCATAAGTATTCATAATAACATGAATTAGTAGCTATAGCTTGGTTTTCTCTCACTCTTTTATTAGAAATGTTAAGAGACACTAACTTTGTTTTGTAAGTAACAGAAACATTCAGAAGTACTTTTTACTTGTTTTTAGTTTTCACTGTACAAATAAGAATGATAAAATGAAGTGTCACTTAAAATTACTCTTAAAAGCTGCTTTATTAAGAATGTTACAGACATTTAGTTTGTGTTGGTTAAACTTTTCAATGAAATCGAGATTAGATTGATTAGACATTAGATTACAAAAATAATTGCAAAAACATAAAATATACTGAATACTGAACCATGAAATTTTTTTTATTTATTTATTTTTTATTATTGTTAATGATGATATAAATATATATACAAAAACTGTTGTCACACTTGTACGAACTGTCTAATAAAATTAGTTTATAAACTCTTCATGTGATAGTTAACGTAGTCTAAAGACTAAAGTACAAGTACTTCCAGTCTTAAACACCACTACACTGTCTGGTTCATCTGCATGCTAACAGCTAATGCTAACCACTCTCAAGTCAATCAGTCGACTATTATCATTTATCCGTCTAACAATCTGATCGATCAGAAAACAAATTAAAGCTGCAAGCAGCGTTGGGCGGGACCTCGCACTCCACGCACTCACGTGCCGTCGTAACACGTGTGGACCACAACATGAAATGTTCACGTCACCCAACTCCCAAGCCCTCATCAGCAGAAGCTGAAGGAGACAGCTCTACATTGTCACACATTTCAGAGACTGCAAATGACTTACACTTTCATAGAGAGACTCTTCACTGCGAAAGGTGGAAATTCAGCCCCATGCCACGGACACACAATTTGATGCACAGTAAATATTTGATTAACTTTTGATCACCAATGTGTCTAGATTGCAGAGATCGAATATGAAGTCAATATGATAAAATCTGTAGGAGTTAAAATAGTAGCCCTGAAATGCCGGAAATGGCATCACAGTGGCCGACTTTGACGGCACGCCACAGACATGACCTTCAACGTACAGTCACAAATCGCACAACTATTAATCAGCAACTTTTCACCAAAAATACACATTTAGGTGTTTATTTTACTTCATTTAGTCTGTTTGTGTCTGTAAATGTCCCTAAGTTAGCATCAGATAATGTCTCCTTTGCGTATTTAAACATAACATTTGAGGAAACTTGTAATACAGACAGTAATTGTCTTAATGTGAGTGATCCACTGGGGAGGTTTGATGCTGATATCTGTTAGTTGTTCACCTGCAGTGTCTCGAATTAAAACCCAAAATCAAACTTTTAAAATGCAGTTTATTATCAATAAAACGGATTAATTAAAGTTCAACAACTTACTCGTGTTCCTACGGATGATTGTAGGATTTTACTGCGATTTAATGTTAATAAACGGATCAAAATGATGCCGAAATAACGACATCATGATGGCGATTTGTAAAAGAAGTCTGACTTTATACTGTCGGTCTGTCTGTAAGACGACGAGCAAACAACTTTTAAAATGCTTTTTTTCTGAATGGAGTTTGGTTGATGAGGGCCCCTGCTCTCTTTATTTAAGGTGGTATGAGTGGATAGCAACAGGGTTTCTCTAAGGAAGTGATTTATTATTGAATATTCCAGGTTTTCTGTATGAGTGTGTGTGAACTTTCAGCTCAGAGGATGAAACCGTTGTTATTGTTGTTTACTTCCAGCAGCTGTTGTCAGCTGATCGGTCGACTCTGAGAATAGGAACAGACTTCTCAGAAAGACCTGAACTAGAGAAACAGGCCTTTATGTGAAGAATATGGACTCATATGAGCATTCAGCTTGAAAACAATCGGTCACATTTGATTAGAAACATGATTCACAAACTGTCTTTGACTTATTTTTGTATTTATTGAGATGGATCTGTTAGCTGTGAGTCTCCTTCTAGAGTTGCACGATATGGTCAAATATTTAAAATTTAAATCTGGAGATCACAGAACTTCATTATAATAATGCTTGTCACACATTTTACATTTACACTGTAAAAAAAAGTATTAAAAATCTATTAAAATA